GTCCTGCTAGGGTCCTCTTCCCACCCTAGATGGGAATAGTGTTGGGATACAGTTCAAGTCACTGGTCTCACTTTCCTCAGGAATAGAGCTATGCGGAAAGAGCTGGTGCCACTGGGAGATTTGGTCTTACCCATACAAAATGTGCTGACCCCAGAGACAGAGATGGACTCCTGACTCCTGGATGTAGCTTTAAAGCATCGATCTGGGCACATCCAGAGGAAGTAATCAGTCATCTGAAGCAAAATTACTTGGTGACTTATAGAAACTTAGAAAACTGACAGTCTGTCTCAATAGTCTCTGTGAGGAAAGATGAGTAGGAAGAAGCTGACATTTTTATTATTTTAAGTAACTGGTGAATTAATTAAAATGAAAATTAATATCCTGTTGCTGTGATATCCTGTCCTATCCCTTGGTGTATAGTATGCCACTGCTGTTGGGAGTGGGTTCTGCAATCAAAAGTAATTTCACACGTATGTCATTTGGCTTAGAACTTTAGATTTTCAGCCAACCAGTTGAAGTTTCTTCTTCTCTTTCTCCATGTGGCAATGGCAGTGCTTTTTTTTTTTTTTAATATTGCCAAGCTGAAGAAGGCACTGACTTCAAGACCCTCAAAAGGTACATGCGCTATGAAACAAAGAGATCTTCAGCATACCAGTATTAACATATTTAACATATTTATTATCCAGAAAAAAACACCTTGGGCTGAGTGAGATCTGGGTCAAGAGAAGTAGCATGAGTGGCATTTTACAGGAGATGCTGTCTAACCAGCCTTGCACATCACTATCATTTTCACATGAAAGAGCCGAATGAATCAGTCTCTGGATAGCTCTGTGTCTCTGACAGCCATCACCTAAAAAACAGCTTGGTGGAAAATGGGCAGAAAAAAAGAATTTTGTTTTTAAAAATTTGGGTCTTTTCTACTAAAGTTACATAAACCAACGAAATATTTTGTTCTCTAATGAGACCACTCCCTAAATACTAACCGAACTGCAGTAAGTTTCAAGTGCCTAGAGATATGCATATTGAATTTTTACCCCTTCCCATCTGCCGACTGCTCCACTGTCATGGTTTTTCCCCTCCTCCAGCCAAGCACAGGGCTGGGGAAAGCACCAACGCTCAATCGTGTCGCTGCCACTGAGCAACAGAAAAAGGTTGATGGGGAGGTTAATAAGTTGACTGTGCAGTTATAACGCTTACCAGGTACCCCTGACAATGGTTAATGTGGTTATTTTCTGCTCCTCTGATCGTTTTACTGCGTGTTCATCAAGTCAGCTCCGGAGCTGGGCTCTCTGCTCCTTACGTTGCAGCTTAGCAGTGTGCAGCAACAAGCCATGTGGCTATTAGCCACCTTTGCTGTGCTGTGTATTTGTATAAACTCCTTGACTCCCATTGCACTTAGGAAAGGCAGCTGAAGTCCTGCTAATGAGAAAAGGATTAGATGAGATTTTTTTTTTCTGCTGCACTTTTGAAAATGTGAAAATGACTGCAAAGTAATCGGGAATGAATTAAAGCTGAGGACAGTGAATGATATTTTTCCCCTGTGTGCAAAGGCTATTTTTTGAATTACTTTTTTTCTCAGCTCGCACTTCTAAATGTTGTCACACCTATCACACTGCTCTCAGTAGAGGTAAACTCTCTTCTGTCCTGAGTCTTAATGTCAACTGAGAGTAGATACCTTGACAGGTATCGATATCTAACTATGACTTTCTGGATAGATTACTAAAATTGGTGAATGGCATAAATTAATCAACACTAAAACCTTTTCACTGTCCTGGAAGAAAAGAGTCTTGCCACAGATATGATCTTTCTAGAATATAGGAGTGAAGGTTGCAAATATGCACTTGGAGCATTACAGAGTAATGATCTTGGTACAGAACTATCGTCCAGATAGTCAATATTCCATCTGCTTTAATGATTAAGACTGAGTACTTCAAAGCTGGCGTAAACTGCCCTTGATGTAGTTGATTGTATGTTGCTTTTCAGAGAAGCAAGCTGTGGATTTCAGCCTGTTTGTTTAGAACACATTTAAATCAGCTGAGCTTATGGCACAGAGCTTGTTGGAGGGACCGAGGTACAAATTTCTGAGCAACCAACTGGTCGCTATTTGTATCTGTAGTGCACATTTGTAGAAATAAATAAGGTGATATCACAGAGTATCAAAGAAAATCTAGGAAGGCTCTCAATATGGGCTAGCTGGTTTGGCCAAAGAGTTTCAATATCAAGTCAATTTACCTTTATTAACCCAGGCACGCATGTTTCAAAGGATATTAACCAGGTGTTTTGGCTTTATAGGTCCTTCTTGTATGAGCAATTCTGTCCTGTATGAACAAGAAACGCTGAAGATAGAGTTGTGCGGGAAAGCTGAATACTCTAATGGTACCATAAAGTCATGGAGTAAAACTAGAAGACTGAGAGTATAAATAATAACTGCTGCTACATTGAGAAATAACTAAATAATAGTAACAGTGATAATATTAATAATCATAATAATAAAGTTACAATGAGAAATAACGTTGCTGAACCTTTGAGATCATCACGCTTGGAAAAGGAACAAGCGGTGTAATTGCTGGGGTGACAAATAGCCATCTAGATTAGACAAATAGTCCCAAGCAGAGATTTACCTGCAGCAGTCACAGGTTAAATTCCTCACTATAGAATTATTCATAACAATGAGCTGATTTAGCAAATTCTTCATCTGGTCAACACAGACTCAGGCTTCATTAGCAGACAATTTTGCATGGGAATATAGTTATGCAAATGGGGATTTTGAGAGGGATAACACAGAAAGCCATCCATGTCTATGATAAGAAGCAGGAGATTTGGGCCTGTGCTAAGGAGCAGAGAAGTTGCCCTCACAGATCCAGTCTCCAATCCTGTTATCTAGTTAACACCTTCCGCTTACTGCTAATTGTCATTACAGAGGTTGGCAGCAGCGATGAGAATTAGAAAACCAGTTCAGCTGGGATATTAGCAAATTAAATGTTTAGAGAACCAGGAGAAGTGAATCCGTTCAGCACAGAAATAAGCTGCGAAGGAGAGAACAGCTTAATGAGCTGTTTAAACCAGCCAAAACTTCCTTCTTTAGTGCCTCAAATACCGCTGTAAATGTGAAATTAGTTTAACTGCTTCAGATGCCAGCCGTTCCTTGTCTTCCTCTCCTACAGCATCAGCGCTGGCCTGGGTGAGCTGAGGGGCTCAGCTTTCCCTGTGTGGCATAAGAAATGATACTTGTGGGGATTCAAAGGAGTAATCAATTTGGGATGAGAGCTCAGTTACTGGCAGCATCATCGCTGGGTGTAACATTTCAGACTGCTCTTTGGTCTCTGTGCTCAGACCCGTCGTTTGGTGATACAATTTTCTGTGGAATTTATTTGATCATTTTTATTATTTTCTATTTCTGAAGACAGCAGTCAACTGATTAAATTTTACCCCACAAACCCATTCATCAGGTTATTTTACAATGCAAAGTATTCTTTTTGTCTTACTACAATTTAAACACCTTCATATATTGGTGCCTTTTGTTAGTAAACAATAGTGTCTTATAAAATGTAGGAATCAAGATTTCCTAGCCATATTTGCCATCTTTAAAAAACGTATCAGCAGTGCTGTTCCCAAGAAACCCTGGATTTCATTAAGGACTGGGTAACAGCTTGCAAAAAGCAAGGCCTGTATTTACAAAGAATCTATATGTTGCACTGTACTGGTTGTGTGAGGTCTCATCTGGGGATTACTGTGTGATTACATGTTCTTCTGCTTCCATCTGTGATTCACTTTAAAGATAATATTTACTGAGACAAATCCAGCTCCTTTGAGCATACGGACTTGATGAGAGGTTCATTTGCGTGCTTTACAGCTCAGTATCAATCGTGGCACCGATGCATATAGCAACCTGTGCTATATATTTACTGTTTCCAAGGAAAAGTTGATTAGCCATCCCCCAGAAAGTTATTCTCCTTTTGATGCAGGGCTTGTAACACCTAGTTGTGCCATGGTAGCATCCCAGCAGGACTGTCTTTGAGCTGGAACACAAATAATTTAGGCATCCTCAATCTCTGCCTCTCCTCCTCTTGAGGCGACTGAGAAGGAGTTTAGCAATGAGCTTTATCTCCTACTGTGCTTCGACACGTACTCATTTTACAGCCTCAGACAAGCCTTGTTTTGGAAAGAACTCAGACTGGTGATTGGGTTAAGAGCTAAGCTCTGGTAAGTGACTCCAGAGAATGTGATTTGTTCCTTGACTGGACAATAGAATCAGCTATAGTCTCCAGATGTCATTCAAGGTGTAATTCTGTCAACCGTTCATAGGTTTCTTGAGCCGATCAAGATACTGCAGGGTATTTGAGCCCTCCAAACAAGACCAAAAGATAGACATAGTGCAGTGCCTACAGGAAAGCCTTGACCTCCGATTTGGGTGCAAGAGGTTAGGTGGATAGCAACATGCAATTTATCTGTCCACAGTGGAGTCACCTGCTTTTGAGAAGGACACCCTAGGCTATTTTAAGAGCCCACAGCCAGTGGACACAAAGGAATCAGTGGGTTTAGGGCAAAAGCCATCTCTTCTGTCTCACAGATCCTCACCTCTGAGCAGATACCACACCTTAAAATCCTTTGGCTGTATTGACTAGCTTTTCTCTGACTGTTATGGAGACCAGGCAACTAGCTTAGATGTATATGATTCTACTTGAAGGTAACTACAGGTGAGAAGAACCTACTCAATCTCCTTATGCCTTTGCTTTCACACAAAAAGTGTGGACAGTATTCCCTCCTTTCCCCGTCATTAATTCCCTACAAGACTTACGTTCTAAATTCCTCCAGTCAGAGGTTTATTCTTGCCCCTTTCTGCAGATAGCTGGCACAGCTGGCTGGTGGCCTGCAGCTACTTTGTCTGGACGTTTAGAGGTTAATCACAGCTTGGGGGGAGAGATGTTGACACCATTTGTTAAAATGTAGATATTTGAGTCTCATCACAATATCATACCAGAAAATAATCACACTTCTTCTAAAAAAAATTAAACCCTTTTTATTTGTATATTTATTTTTATATATAAAAGAAATACAAAAAAAAGAACACAAACAAAATGCTGATTATGGCAATTCAGTTTTGTCAGCCCCCTCTGCCTGGGCTGCCGCCTCAGATCCACCGGGAGTGAGCAAAGTCCTCCGGTTATAATGTCCTTTAATGATTCCAGAGTTATTGTTCTCATTAAGGATTTGCTTCTGTTTTTGCCGGTTAAGAGACTGTACAAGTCCTAATACAACAGCCGCTAATGAATACTGTCCAGTCAGTTTTCTTGGTTGTAAGATTAAAGGATTTGGTTGAACTCTTCCTAGAAGAAAATATGTTTTGATTTTTCCTTCCTGTTCACTGATACCTTTGACATAAATCTCTCCTCGGTAGTCAAAGGCAAATCCCCGGTCCTTCAGGATCAGATACGTTTCTTCAGGCACTTGTATTCTGTCGCTAACACCTGTGCTGTCCATTCGACTTGCTAAATTAACCGTTTTGCCCCAGATATCATATTGGGGTTTCTTAGCACCGATAACTCCCGCTACAACAGAGCCATGGCTAATCCCTATTAAAAAAAAAATAAAAATAAATTGAGAACAGACGGCCAGTTTGACAAGAATAGCTGAAAACCATATTTGCACTTAAGAACCAGATGAAGCTTTGTACAGATACACTTATCTCTAAGCTTGAGTAAGAAAAAAAGAAAAGCCTGAAAAGCTGGAAAACATGAAAAGTGAAATCCACAGAGTTATTTTACAGGATGTCCGTCTCAGTGGAAGCACAGTACTTACGTATCATCTGTGTTCTGCGTACTATTGCCAAAGCTCCTGCAAACTGATTCTTATGTAGTAGGAAAGATCTCTCTGGAAGGATCTTTCTGGGTCTACACTTGTTGAAGGCAATCTTGTTAGTGCTACACAGCCAAGAAATTACATTCTTATGTTGTATGAAGTGAAAATATTTAAGTATTCTGCAAAGTTATTGAAAGACTGTATCTTGCAAGATTGTTGAATAAATTCAAGACAAGCAATAACATAAAAGAGATTATTTTTTTCTATAGCTGTGATTTAAGAATGCATTTAGTGATAGTGAAAAACATATCTTTAGGAAAAGTTTCTTACTTTTTTAGGGTTTTTTTTAAGAATATTTTCTTAAATTGATGATAGAAATGATTTCCAAATACTGCTTCAATCATGCTCTATGAAATCTTTGCAAGTGATCCACACATACCAAAATGGAATAAATGATCACCAGGAAATCTTGGGAACTGAGAATTTTCTGTTCAAAAGTGTTAGGAAGTGCAGATCACAGATAGTGATGCTGCTACCATCCATGCTATGACTGATGAATATACTTCAGCTTTTTATGGCAGGGTTGTCTGTAAAGGACATGTGTCTCCAGGTGGTTTTTGGTTTTGACCAGTGACCCAGTCAACATGAGAAGCCATCAGATTTACTCCTGCTATGTGCCATATATTCAGGCAATCTTTTCCCATGTTCCATCCTAGTAGCCATCCAGGATATCCCATTTAGGATAGTAATTTCCCCATCACAGTAATTCAGCGCTGCTGCCACTGGTCAGGTCAGAACTGGAATTCAGTTTCTGTGCAAAACCAAAGTACTACACACAGCGTTTAGGAAAAGCTACTGGTACCTCTTTACTGAAGAGGAATCTAAGACAAGGAGATTAATTAGAGATCGTGTAAGCCAGTATCAAGCCTGGGGTTAGGTTTAGGATGCCCAGTTCACTTCTTGTGTTATATCTGTGGGCTCTTGGCCAGACTTCCTAAAGACAGTAGCTTAATTATGCTACCCATTCACAATTAACTAAACCCTAGAACTCCTGCAGTTCCCAAATCAGGGCTCATATTCTGCAAACAGAGTATTTCTCATTTCTAACTTTGCCTGGGATTACGTCAATTTGAAAACAGAGGATATAATATTTTGAGTCTCTTAAACCGTACATGTCCTTGCAACACTCCTGGGGTGCACTTACAGAGCCGAATCCTTGCAGACAAAACCCCATTTAATTCTCATATTTGACCTATGCTTACCAATACGGAGTTCAAAGTTGTTAAACGAATGCTTGTTGATCTCTTGTATGCTTTCATTCAGAGCTATGGAGAAGTCAGCCAGGGCACACAAATGCCCCCATTTGTCTTCACATTGCTGAGGATTAAGATATAAACCAATAGATTAGAAAAGTTTTGCATTTGCCCAGCACCTACCCATCCCTACCAAGTGCCAAGTATCTGAATTTGGAATTCATAAGAACAGTCTCAACACACTAGATTCAAGAGAGGTAGGATATTATTAATGGTAACGCTTCCCATTTATATTACAACACTCGTATACTTGGATAGAGAGAAGCTTAGGGTGGAGTACCAAAGAAAGTAATATCCTGTCAATAATGTGACAGGCCATCATGGGAATTAATAAGGCATGTGAAATCTATCTAAGGCTGAGAAAGAAGTTATAGAGAGGATTGAGATAGCTCAGGTACAAGGGACAAAAACTAGTGAGAACCAGGGATGACTCATGTAAGCAAGAAGTAGAATGAAAGAAGTGAAAGATGTAATTTGCAGGGATAGAATAGTGATGGGAACAACAGGGCAAGCCAGGCAACCTGGGACTGGTTAAGTGGGAGAGAAAAGGCTATTCTGTAGTTTGTTAATTGCCTCTGCTTAGAGCAGTCAAGTCATTCCCTGCTCCTTCTCCTCTGTTTCCGTTCCTACAAGGCAGTTGATGCACAGATGGAGACCAGGAGTGGGTTTTAGTCTTCCCAGAACAGCAACAGAACAGATGATGGGTCAGAGACGCTCAACGGAGGACAGAGAACTCCTTAATTGTTTCTCTGAGTAGGCAGTGGAGTAAGGAACAGCCGTGGTTTTAGCCCAATAGTGGTATGATGTCATCTCATCTATTCTGGAGCCAGGTAATTCTTTCATTAAACAAATTTCCAGAATGAAGCATTGCAAGCCCCACCTGGGTCATGCAGCCCAGCCCTTTGCAATTTTCATATTCCTCAGTGTTTAATACTGAACATAAGCATCTCCCTGGCATCGCCCTGTTCTGTTCACACCGTGCTCAGTCCTTGTCCTCAGCTTCTTTCTGTTCACAGTGTGCCAACCTTCCTCAGCAGCTCTTACCTCTTAGATGGTGACAAGGTGATAGACGTGTATGTATGAAGATAAGTATATTTAAAATATACATAAAAAGCCCATTAAGATATTACAGTTCAAGAAAAAGGGTGAGTTAATCAGTCTTGGAAATGCAGTAAAGGTTTTCTCCTTTTGAATTTTTACCCACATCAAGAGTCAAAAGAAGGGGTTAGCTATAACCAGCTACTTTCCTGATGTTCAGTCCTTTGCTCGTATCTGCACAGAAGCATTTTGAGTTGGAACAAACTAAAATCTCATGAATGCCTAGTTTTGTGGATTTCTAGCTGTCAGCATCACTTGTTACTCTGTAGGTGGGAGATGCTCAGTTAGTTACACTCCACACGTTTTATAATGTATTCTAAACAAACAATGGAAATTTTATAGTTTATAAAGCTCACACTAATCCGGCTCCTGCTTTTCTGGCAGTTGCAAACAATGTGGGCAGATCTGATTCCCACTCTGTGGTCGATCTGGGGCAGCTCACTCTTTTTTTCCTTGGGGAGAGGCACCGGTTGCCAAGCAAGACAGATTTCAGCAACAGCTGACTTCTTGTTGGATGTATTTTACAGCCTCGTCTTATTCCTTCGGAGACCTTGTTTCCAGTCATATTCTTGGGTGTAATTATGAATGGATTTCTCTCATCTGGCTTATCTGAGGTTTATGACTGTGATTGTGCATATGTCCTCTGTGACTGATTTTCTCCTCAGCTTGGTTTGCACCTCTGCAAGTGAAGGCAGCGTGCAGGCTTCTGGCTTTGTGATGTCTTTCAGTTGAATGGAAGGATCTACTTTCTTTCTGATGTATAGCTTACCTCACTATCTGTAGATATACAGCTACATCATGACAAAAATCTGTACATGCAACCTTACACTTGCATAACTGTGGTGTCACTTAATAGATCCTCTCTTTTTGTAGATTATTGGAGGCTGTTAGCCAGACTCCAGTCTGAGTTATAGTGGTATGTCCGAAGATATAGATAGACCTGCTCTAGATTCACATCAGAGTGATTGAAACGAGCTTTTTTTGTTCTCTCCTATAAACCTAAATTGTAGGAAAGAATCCATATGGTTCTTGTTCTGAGCACAAGATGGTATTTCAATTCATCAAGAAGTGCAACTGATGCCTGCCATAAGCCTCAAATGTCTATTTTCTTTTTGCAAACTAACACAAATATTCTCTAATAGGAATGGTCAGACACATCAAAAGCTTTGCTTCTTAAAGGAAACTTACCTGTTTTTCAGGTGATAATCCTGACACGGCCATGTATGTGCTGCCAATCGTTTTAATTTTTTCTATGTCTTGAAATCTCTCTTCACCTAGTAACTAATACATATGTAAAAAACAGTTACTTTTGGAATTCTTAATGCAAAATGCTTCTGCAGATATCAAAATGAATCATGACACTCATAGTATCTTTCAGTTGTTCATGGTGCACTGTTCATTCTGGGTTCTGGGGCACACTGAGCTGGGACTCTTTGCAACATCAACTATTCACAAAGTGCATTCAACCTAAATTCTGCTGTGCTCTGTAAAGTTGTTGGGTAAATCACATAATGGATAATACAAGACATGCATATTCCAGTCTAATTTAAATGCTGATGAGTCCTGCATTTCCTGAGGTATAATCACTGAAAATTAGTGAAGATAAACTCTCTGTGTATGTATGTGTGAGTATAAGAAGAATTGATCGCTTGAAAGTGTTCTTAAATCTCTTTTGGAGGAACTCAGTTTGCAAATTAAGTGCTGCCACAGCAACAATTCAGGTGATTAGACCAGTGTTAAAGGGAATTCAGTTTTCTTAAAATAACTATTTTAACCATCTTACATAGTCAATGGATGGAGGTAGCTGGCTGCAAAGAACTTCTATGTGAGATCAAGTCCTCCTGTTTCCCATGCTTCCCTTTACTTACTGTCAGACCTAACACTGGTATGTCCATTGGGCCATTCAGTTTGCACTTTTGTTACGTATTTTCCCCTTCTGCAAAAAATACAAGGAATCAATGGGAAATGGTAAACACCTGCATATTTTTGGGATAGCTATAGGTGCTAAGTAGGCATAAAGAACTTGCCAGATTGAGAATCTGCAAGAGGAAGAATAAATTTAGTCTAGTGACTAAAGCAGAGTGCAGTGAGAGTTACAGTTTGGTCCCTATTCACAGTTTAACTTTGGATTTTCCATGAAATGGAAGCCAGAGCCTTACACTCCTTGAGACACCTAAGCAGACTTCAGGTTGTGAACTCTATCAATGACAATAGAGCTTTATGTGGGATATGAGCACGTACCACCTCATCGCAGGCTTTAAAAATGTGTATTGCTGATGTTAATACCAAAATATCCTGGGAAACTTTGTGACAAGCAGTATGGAATATAATAAATTTACATATCAATACAGTTAAGCAGTGCTGGAAGAAAAAACCCAGATCACAGAGAAAAAGAGTTTCAAACTTTCATTTCCAAAGGCTCAATTTAGTTGGAATTTAAATGAGAAAAACTCTTACTGTGGTCAGGCAAAAATTTAATGAAGCATTTCCCCCTTTTTTTTATGCACTGTCGTGCATTCTTTTTCCATCTTTTGGGTTTGAGTTTCCTGTCAATTAAAAACTAAAGGGATTATTTCATTCAAAGGAAGAAACATACCAAAGGCATAACATGAAATATCCCCTGCCATTGAACTAACCACAGCGTACGTCAGCCGGAGCGCCGGGGTCTCGGAAGCTTTGCTGTTCGTGTACACATATCGCACCATCTGTCTCTAATGGGAGGCTGCACAGCATTGTGTGCAGGGAATACAAAGCCATATGGTTAATGGCTCCCTTCCAAGTCAGGAAAGTCCAAAAACTTGACCTGCTTCTCATTTTTCTTCAAACTGCCAGAAAAGCCCATTATCTACATTTCCCTCCTACAAGGGCAGCTCTTCCAACTGCTCTCTTAAAGGAAAAGATCACTTCTTGTAGCTCTGCTTTTGTGAGCAGTTTGAGAGCACCAGGTGTGTGGGCAAGGGGAGAAAATGCTCTTGGTTAAAAACAGCCTATATTTTCATTTCCAGCTGGTTGCTGGAAGCAAAAGCAAACAGCACAGTAATTTAAAATATACGATAAATATCTAAAATGACTCTTTTTAAGAAAGAAAGAATCCATTTGCTGTGAGGCAATTAAGAAGATATAATCTCAAGTTATATTTTTTCTTCTCATTCATTATTGTTTCCAAATCCCTATTTTTTTCCTGCTTTATCTTGTCTGTTAGATAGCTTCTTTCCTTCTTCAAATAATGGTTTATATATCAATTACACTCTTCACAGAGTGTAATTGTATGACAAGATGATGGATTTTGATATTGGGAAAGATATTCCAACTCAGTCCTAAATCACCTTCTATTTGTTATGACATTTTAAATAGGCTTGCTCATTTACCAAGATAGGCCAGGGAACATTTTCAGACACCAGAATGTGGTTGATATCTGAAAAGCAACTAATGGCTTGATGCTGGCATTCATGTACAGCCAAGGTCATACGGAGGTCAGACCCTGGGATATAGGCATGTAATGAAACATGTACAAAGTAGTACAAAAGAGAATGTTCCAGGACATGGCACACAACTGCAAACTAATCAGTGAAGTCTGAAAGCAGGATCCTGCATTCTGACGAAACCTCTATTTGTGGCAACATAATATATTAAAGTCTGTTGTCATAAACGCTGTGTAAATCACTGCAGGATAAAGAAAATGGGGGAAAAAAGAGCCCATGAACTGGAAAGCTCTTATTAAAGCACAAATCCCAACTGTAACATCACTAAGATACATAAACAATAGATTAAAAAGACTAGAAAGAATATTACATAAAAAAAAAATAATTTCTTCAAGACTTGTAATCTTCAGGAGAAATGCCCCAGTATTATTTTTCTGGTGCAACTTCTCTAAGAATGGGAGTTTAGTTCTGTATGTGTTTTAAGACTACAGTCATATAAAAAATGGGTAATTATAAAAGTAGATTTGCAATGTTCATGTTTGGTTTTTTGATGTATGAACTGTTCCTGTCAGCACTACTGTGCTTGGGTACAAAAAAAGAAATTTTATATAACTGTATTCTACAATGATGTCAAATAAAATGTCAAATAAAAAACCAAATCTCTTCTTGCCAGTCCAGAAACCAATACCTCCCATTCTGACTTAGTCAACAGGAAGCCTAGATAATTTGGAAATCAACAGATTTGTGAGCCATCAGGGAAAAAAAAACAACTGAGTAAAGGCTGTGCTTTGAGAAGAGTCAATCACCTGCTCTCTGAGGCCAACTTTTGGACCAGGTTGCCCTGGCTCCCTAAGAAAGACATAACCTGACTGCTTTGTGGGCTCCTGCCCTGTGTAGTTGTTGATGGCAGGTTCTGTTCCACCATGCACTATTTTTTGTTTGACTGGCTTTGTATTCCTAACAAAGATCCATTACCTGGAAAACCAAATAACAGATCTGGATTGTAAGCCTTCCATTTTGTAGTAACAAGGAAACTCCTCTAAAAAGAAGAAAGAAATAACCCAGGTCTCCTTCTTGAGCACCTATCACATTTTCCAAACCAAGTCAATTTTTACCACTGCTTTCATTCAAAAACATCTTCCTGGACTTATGGATACAGCATCCCTACTGCTATCTATGTGAGGAAAGGAGGCAACTTTTAGTGTAGAATCTGATTCGAGATTAGGAACTCAATTCAGTTCTCAAAACATAGATGTCTAGTGTCACCTAGAGCATGCTTCCCTGAAAAAGTTCCAATGGCTTGCTCCGGAAAAGCATGAGTTTTCTGACAGTGCAGTATGCGACCTGACGATCCCATGGGGGTGTCTCAAATCACCTAGGATATCTCAAATGGCACAAGGTACCAATGTCTTATGCTCTTGTGCTAAGAATTCTACATTTGAGTATCTCTACAGGGGTGTTCACATGATGCTGAGGAGCAAAGTTTTCCCAGGGCTAACAGATCTGCTCTGTTCTCAAGGTGCTCGCCTGCATTTTGCTTCTAGAGCTGTATTGAGACAGCAGACAATCTTGGCAAGAAAAACCATGAAAAACAAGGAATAGTGACATCATGTAGTGTCAGTCAACAGTTACATGGAAACATTGCTGGCCCTGAAACACCATACCTGAAATGACTTCTGGTTCCTTTTCCATGAGTAGGATTACTCACTTCAGTTGTTCTGTCTGGCATATCATCTTTCAGATTGCTTAGAGAGAATAAACTAGTGGCATGACCATGCTGGAAGTAGGTTAGCAGTCAGCAGGGGATCACGTAATTTCATTCACTACCCGTACCAAGAATATATCTATTATTCAACTAAACATGTCTGGGACATAAAATAGTCCCTAATTAGGTCCTTTATTAATTACAGAGCAGGTGTTAGGGGCCTGAATATAATATTGTGTTAGGGCTTTTGATGAAAAACTTGTCTTCAGTAATCACCATGGCAGCAATGGAATTTTGTTGTGAAGATTGCATGAATGTGCATGACAAAATATCTTAAATTAATTCATAGCAATAGGCTTTGCATTAAGTTTGAGCCATAATCATTTTAATCAGATCTGGAAAGAAAAACAAAACTATTAATCAAGAAGCATGCTGACATCTCTGCAAGATCTCAGAGATAAGAAGCAGGTATTTATACCTATAGGGAAAGCAGTGCAGGAGCTTAGCAGGTGACAGCTCTTCTAATAGAAAAGTGGTTTTGCTTTCTACTAAAATACACAGGGATGCATCCACTTCTTCTATTTCCCACTAGTAATTTAGTATCTGACCAATTATATGGATAAACTCTCAATTTCATTGTCTCTCAGAGTCTGGTAACGTTAAGCCTGGTCCATTTTTTAGGAGCTACCACTCTATGATCATTCCCCATGCAGAGGCCCAGGATAAGGAAGGATGAAGGTGCAATTAACACCATGATCTGGGTTCATATTTAGGTTCTAGCTTCTGGCGTGGGCACAGGTATCTTTATTTTCAAAAAAATTCAGGAAAGTCAGCTCTGCCTTGGTGCCTTTTTTTCCACCTATGAAATGAAGATAACATAACTTCTACCAGAGGACAAAATTGCAAATAAATTCTTCAAAACCTGTGAGAGGCCTTAAGTACTTGCTGCTACGGATGGAATTTAAAAAATAACCCAAAACAAAAAAGAAGCTTTTTTTTTTTTTTCCTAATCTCTTTTTCACAGTAGCGTGCCTTCCACTTTCATCTTTTCCTTCAGTACCTTCCTCTGAAACCCTGGGAGTTACTTATTCTTCAAAGTAAAAAACAAAACAAAAACTCTAGGCTAGATCCTCAAAGAGAGATCAGTGTTTAAAGCAGAGCTGAGGTAGAACTGAATAAATTAAAAAAAAAAAGAAAAAAACCCACTGATTTCTCATGTCTTCATTCAACTGTATTCTAAACCTTGGAGAGGTCTGAACTCTGCTAATGCTTCATTTTTTCGGAAAAAAAATTTCTATATGCTTTATCTATGGGCAAAATCCTGGTCCAGATGCAAAGACTCCTGGTCCAGATGCAAATCTTCACAACAATGACAAGATGCCTTCTTGTCATCTCTCAAGAACTCAATCTTCTGCACTCTTAACGCTTTTTGAGTTGAGAGCCAAAGTAAAAGATGATCTCTTTTTTCAAATCACAACCTAAGTGGAGTTTTTCCCTTTTCTGTTTTAGAGAATTGCTCCATTGTTACATAGCTCATATGGGATGCGAGATCCAGATCCAGCATCTTTTGAGGGAACAAACTCACTCCTCTGTTCTTAATTTTAAGCTGACAAGATACCTATCGTTTCTCCACTTGATACTCTACTACAACAGAGAAATGTATTAAAAAATTCCTTGAGATAAACAGAGATTAAATAGAAACATGAGTTTCTTGGGTAGGATTTTTTACAGTTTCTCAACAAGTTCTTGCTATCCATATACCCTCTCCCTTGCTACCCAGTTTAGTGCTAATCTTGCCTTGCTCAGCAGAATTCTGAAAAGGATATAATTTTCCTACTTTTTCTTTAAACAACTTCTCCAAAAACAAAGTCACAGATCAGTGATACCACCACCACCTCCCCCTTTCGCCTTCCCTTTTCCATCTGCATGATTCCAGTCCAGCACTCAGATCCAATCTCACTTTTAAGTAGAGATGCATTAGATGCTGCTTCTACCACTTGGGGATCTCAGGAGGGCTACGCACTCCTGAACACCACAGTGTATAGGTTAAAATTCCCCGTGCTGGGTAATTTTGGCCTTACTTTTGCCCTACCTAGGCAAACCCTTCCTACTAGGCCTACCCTTCCTAGTTTTACAGGTTTTTCAAAGCTCTTTGTTGGTCTATCCTTTGTCCTCTTTCTTAATTCCTCTTGGGCTCATTGCAGGACATGATAACACCTGTCTAAGCTTCCTTACTAACTAGCTGGCAATACAAAATATCCAACTTGCTCCTGATTTCCTCTTCATTTTCCAATTTTTCCTTGCTTTCAATAGCTACATCAGGGATCTGACTTTTCTTCTACTGTTTACCTTACCCCCTCCTCAGCTCTCTTTCTAAAATCAACTGGACAGGATATCTAAATAAACTCTTTTTCGTTTCTGTCCTTTCCTTTTTTTTAAAAAAAAATCACTTCACCTCTGAATTCCTCAGTAAAGCAAGCAGCTTTACTCTATTTACCTCTGTATAACATACAAAAGTCTCCTCAGTTAATGTCACCACCTTTCATTCTCTGTCTGACATTTGATTCTGAGCTGTGCGCTTCACATTTAACTGGACACTGTTTTACCTTTAACATTCATTGAGTTCATTCAACCAATGTCTTCAAAACAATATCTTTGTCTGTTTGGATTTAGATGACTACTTTCCAGAACTATTGCAAATATTTTCATCCTTCTTTCTTCTACAGAATTAAGGCATGTTCTACTTCTAGATACGCTGGAGCAGATTGTGCTTTTATTTATGCATGTTTATACTTAAAGTATAAGTATATTAAGTATACTTATAGTTACTTAACTATTGATTTCACTCTCTGTCTCACTATGTCATTTAGACCAAAGTTTGGCAAGACTAAATGCAAAAAAGCAAAATAGACAATTGTCATTGGAGTAAAAATATCAGACAATTGTTGGAATCAGAATAGTTACTAAATTTGATAATCTAGGATGACATATTTGGTGTTTGGGAATTCATTGTTTAAGCACTATCAGATTTTCTCTAGTAGCTGGTATTACCTCATCAAAGTCTGCAATGATTTCATTCAGCAGGCGCAGACATTCTACTCCTTGGTTATTCATCTCGGTCTGGGAATAGAAGTCAGCAAATCCAGGAATAGAAGCAAACATCACACCAACAGCATCATAGGACTGAGAGTATAACTCCTAAAAGAACAATGAAGAAAAATGAGTTAAGTGATAATATAGGAAAGAGAATGTAATTGGTTGCAGTTAAAATAGGTTTCTTATTTTTTCCATATCTAACACCTTATATTGGCAGTTGACATTAGTTTATTGTTAGCCAAGTTCAACAGGAGGAGACTCACAGCTCTCACATTTTTATCATGGATTGCATGCAGGGTTTGTCCTTGCTTTGAAAGCCTGCTCTTTCTGCTTCTGAGGTCAGGGAGCTACATGAGCAGAAATGAAACAGAACTTTTCATTTTGATTTTGGGGAAGCATTTGAAGAAATGAAGGATTCATTTGCAAGTATGAATACCGGAGAATCACACATAGTTAGGCAAGTGAAAGGAATCTAGTGATTACTATTGTTTAAGTCTGTCTCATAAACGTTTGCAGTTGACAATGTATTTCTAAATTTGTTGATTAATAGGGATCAGATGAGGCCATTTAAAATGTCTAACATGACCTCTTTGTAAAAAGTCCTCTCAGTTACCACATTTTCTGGTGGATAATTTATACTTCACATCCCTGCAGCTCTTTACAAGTTTGTTTATTCACAAGTTTTCAGAGAGCCCTTACTCTGTAGTAAACTGTGGTTCTCCTAATGTGACAATGGAGTTTTTTGGTTACCTCTGGGAGAGGTTCCTGTTGTTCGAGTTTGAAAAGAGGGAGAAACAAAAGTGGGGACAGAAAGCAGCTTATAAGAGATCGGACACAGGAGGCTATCAGGGTAAGGTATGCCCTGGGATAAGCTTCCGCTTACGTTATTCATACAATTCACTCTGGTGCTGAATGACAGATTTATTTATGGATGGGTTCTTGTCCTTATATATGTGAAAATGTGGCCATTTCTTCTATATACCCAAAAAATTTTTAAGGAACAGAACTAATTTCAACTTTAAAAATGCCAAGGACAGAGCCCCCCATGACTGTTGGTATGCTTTTCTACTGGTTAATATACCACAACCATATGCCTTCTCCTTTGTTTATTTTTTTTCTAGCTTCAACTTCTGTAGTTTTAGCCAGTGATGCATACTTTCAATTCTGTGACTTCTGTTATGACATTCTGACCTGGAGTATCTGCTTCTTTTGTTCCTTTTAATGTCCTTTAGGAAATTTTAGTGCTTTGGTCTCAAGGTAAAAGGAATTTGGTGGCCTTCTGCGACAGATTTACAGTATTGGTGGATAACAGAAGAGCAACTTATGTCATCTACCTGGACTTGTCCAAAGCATTTGGCACTGTCCCACACAACATCCTTGTCTCTGAATTGAAGAGACATGGATTTGATGGATGGACCACTCTGTGGATAAGGAATTGGCTGGATGATTGCACTCAAAGAGTTGGGCTTGATGTCCAAGTGGACACCAATGATGAGTGATGTTCTTCAGGGGTTGGTATTGTGGCTGGTGCTGTTTAACATCTTTTTTGGAGACAGTGAGATTGAGTGCACCCTCAGCAAGTTTGTTGATGACACCAAGCTGTGTGGTGTGGTCAACACAACAGAAAGAAAGGATGCCATCCAGAGGGACCTCGACAGGTTTGAGAGGTGGGTCCATGCGAACTTCATGAAGTTCAACAAGGCCAAGTGCAATCTCCTGCACTTGGATCAGGTAATCCCAAGCACGAGTACAGGCTGGGCGGAGAATGGATTGAGAACAGCCCTGAGGAGAAGGACTTGGGAATGTTGGTTGATGAGAAGCTCAACATGAGCCGGCAATGTGAGCTGGCAGCCCACAAAGCCAACTGTATCCTGGGCTACATCCAAAGAAGCATGACCAGTAGATCAAAGGAGGTGATTCTGCCCCTCTACTCTGCTCTTGTGAGAACCTGCCTGGAATACTGCATTCAGCTCTGAGGCCCCAACACAATAAGGATGTGGAGCTCTTGGAGCAAGTCCAGAGGAGTACCACGAAGTTGATCTGAGGGCTGGAGCACCTCTGCTATGAAGAGAGGATGAGAGGAGAGGGTTGGGGTTGTTGAGCCTGGAGAAGAGAAGGCTCCAGGGAGACCTTCTAGCAGCCTTCTAGTACTTAAAGGAGGCCTACAAGAAAGCTGGAAAGGGACTTTTTGCAACTCCATGTAGTGGTAGGACAAAGGGTAACAGTTTTAAACTGAATGAAAAGAGATTTGAATTAGATCTAAGGAAGAACTTCTTCCCTCTGAGGGTAGTCAGGCACTGGAACAGGTTGCCTAGAGAAGCTGTGGATGCCCCATCCCTGGAAGTGTTCAAGGCCAGGCTGGATGAGGCTTTGAGCAACCTGATCTAGTGGAAGGTGTCCCTGCCCATGGCAAGGGGTTTGGAACTAGACGATCTTTAAGGTCCCTTCCAATCTCAATCATTCTACTTTTCTACGATTCTATGACTTACTGCTAGACGCCATACACCTGATAGGAACACCTCAGGCTCTTCCTCTTCCTTCATCCTGCTTCTCTGTAGAAAAGAATCCTGAATCCCTGCCCTGCACTTTGCTATGATGCGTATGCTGCTACTTATCTAGACTCTTTAACAATGCATCCTACAGTAAAAGTGGGAAAATTCTGTTATTTTCCAAAGACACTGCAAAGCTTTGATTGAGAAAAAATCATGATTGATTCCCTTCCTGTTCTTACACTTTCTTTCACTGCAGAACATCTGCAGGGTCATGGAAGCCATACTCTAAGGACACTCTTAATGCCTTTTATAGGTATAGAGAAAACTAATATACACGTTAGTTCGTGGATGCTTATGGAAGACTACACAATATGTGCTAGGAGAAGCATATATACACTCATGCATACTCTTTCCTCAGATCATGAAGATAGAAAACAACTGGCTGAGCCTTCAGCTGCTCTGTTTTTCTATTTTTGGTAAGAAGCATCAAGACAGAAATAATACATTTATGAGAAAGCGCTTACAGTACACATTTGGGAATTCATTTTTTGAGAGCAGAGAAATTAACTTAATGGCCAGACATGAACTGTAGGATTGATTGTACTGAAATCTGGTAGATGTTATAGCCAGCCGGCTCATGCATAAATCATCCCCAAGTATAGTCACTCTGGAAATTGCCTTACAAAAAGCAGGGGTGGTGGAATTGAATTCAGTGGCAAATTATTGAAGCATCAGCAGTGATCCATGGGGCATCTGTTTGCTTTGGTAGATTATTATGCATGTTAGTGTATGTGAATGAATGTGTAAGAGAGGACATGCTTTCCATGAAAATCCGTAATGCAGATATCCAGACTGAACACACTCACGGTTGATATTGCGGTCTGCTCCATTTGCAATGAAGCATTTTAACGTGGTTGCTTTCACACACACATTTTCTCATGTGCAGAGCAGTGTTTTTATGGCAGCTTAATATCCACAGAGCGTAAAATTCCTCAAGAGGTTGATTTCTAAAGTACATTTTCTTGTAGCGTCTCACTATGTGGTCCTTCCCTGGGTGATATTTCAAATCACATCTTCAGAACACAATGATCCCTCATTGTGCAGTCTAATTCATCTGGCTACATCTATTTCCAAAATGTACAATAAGAAAAGGGTAGCCTTGATTCCATTTTGCTGCGCAATGAATAGATATGCTAGTGATGGCAACCTGAATCTTGTAACATTTGTAACCTCTTCATTATAAAAGATAATTCCAACATTACATGGGAAAATTCCAGTTTCATCATACAATTGTATTTATTCACAGATAATATTATAATATGCGTTTGCTTTATTTCATATAAGGAGTAAGTGACTTACTGCTGCTTTCAGAAACAAATTCTGGAGACTTTCCTTTACCCCTTCCACAACTTCTCTTCAAACTCTCTCTTAGGAATACCCTGACACTCTGTTATCAAACCTTTCTTTGTGTACTACAAGCACTCTTTAGGAGCTATGTTTCTGAAATAGGTGTTTTGTCAACTGCCCCAAAGAGGCAATTCAGGTGCAATATGAAACAGCAAAAATGTTCTCTTGGGTTGAAGATGCAAGAGGCTCAGGTCTGTTGCAGCCTGTCGCACAGATTCCTTCCATAATAACTGTCATGGCTGTAATAACACTTTCGCAACACTGGGCAACTGTCCTAAGGTTGCACAGGCATTCTATTAAATTCACATACTTTTTTCAGGCATACTAGATTTTCCTAGACTCATAGGTTGGAAGGGACCTCTTAAGGTCATCTAATACAGTTCCCACTCAAAGCAGGGCCAATTAGGTCAAATGTCTCATGGCCTTGTTCCTTTAAGGATTGAATATCTCAAAGACTGGAGATTTCACAACCTCTCTGAGTCCCAGTGAGATGACCACTTTCTGAGGGATTTTTTTTCCCATATATCTAACTGAGATTTTTCTTCCTGCAACTTGTGTCATTGCCTCTTGTCCTTCCACTTCCCTATTGGAGAAGAGTTTGGCTCTGTCTTCTCTGTAAACACCCATTAGATATTTGAAGACAACAATGAGATAATCTTTCAGCCTTTTCCTCTTAAAGTTGAATGAACTCAGCTCTCAGTTTCTCCTCATACATCATGTGCCCCAACCCCCTTAATCATCTCGGTGGCCCTCTGCTGGACTTGGTCTAGTAGGTCCATGTGTCTCCTACTGGTGAGCCTGAACCTGGAAAAAGTGGTCCTAGAAGTGTAGAACCCTTTACTTTAAAATACAAATGTGGTTTTTTTTTTTTTTTATCTGATCCAAATGTGGATCAGATACTTCTGCAGATATTTCTGCAATTAATCCTATCAAGACCTAAGCTCCTAACAGATCTGCTTTTCTTTTGCTAATTAGACAAAAGTATCAAAGATAAAACTGATACATACTTCGTTATCCCGATCCTTCTCCAGGAAGTGACGAGCAACATGACTGGGTAAAATATTCCGTAGCATATTTTCATTATGCTCCCTCAACTCCTTCATTTCATTGATTTCTTCTTTTGCTTGAACACGCCACAGAAAATCCAGCCTTGCCGTGTATTCAAGCTGTAATTCCAGAAAGAAAAAGAAAGGAAAAATAAAACCTGGCAAGATAAGAGTAGAGATTGTATTGTCATCCTGGCAGGCTGCTCCTGCCATGTAACTGCCTTCGGTGATGCTGAAGGCCTTCGACTCTGAAAGAATTTGATTTCATTGTCATAAAAAGAGATTATTTCTTTGCCTTGTGTATGGTGAGTGTCTCAGAGGAATCTTGGGCAAAATAATATTTGTCATATTACTGTTATGGTGGCTAGAAAATTGCACAAAAGTATTTTCCTTTTAAACACATCTTAGACAGATAATGGAGTCAGACAGGATGTAAGGTATTGGAAGATATTGGTATGAAATGAATATGTTCCCCTTTTCTTATGTGTTTTCAAATGAAATGGGTTTCATGAGAAAATAGTACAAGGGTCATTCTAAACACTTTGCAGATGGGTAGTTTACTTCTCAAGGATAAGCATCTTTCAGCAAAACTAAAGACAACAGTCCAACACGCTGCCAAAGAGGACTTTCGAATCTGTGGCACCAAAATGAGGTATTTCTACTTTTGGGCCACAGATTTATTTGCAATTTAAGTCTTTTACAAGATATTGGAAAATTTGCAATTTGATACCCCCTCAAATACTATCCCTGACTTATTGTGGATCCAGAGCCTACAGCCACAATTTAGTACATGCACAGTGGCAGTGCCTGATACTCCCAGATACAAATAAAAGTTCAATGGTTTTCAGTGCTATATGTGTACAGGAAAAAAGGGAGATTCCTGCACAGCACAGTTTATATATGCACATATATATATATGCATTGTGTAATTTTATATATATACATACAAATGCATATTCATATATACAGAAATGGCAACTGTCTGCTACCTGAAATGGGGAATATGTCAAAACTTCATGTTGTTTGCCTGAGAGGCACGTGTTTCAGCACATGGACAAGACCAGCGCTGCCAGAACTTTTGGGTACATGACACTGATGAAGAGTACTAATCAGATTTTAAGGTAGGTGGTTCTGTAGCTTGCAGAAGGGGTGATTTATTAAGCTACGGCACAGAAAGACCTGTGTGCAGTAAACTGAAAGAGAAAATATATTTGTGAGGCTTGAGATGCTCTAACCAGAGATAACAGTCAAATAGCCAGCAGAGAAACATATTATGCCAGCAAATGAATGACTTTTACATCTGGGAGAGACATCAAATGGCTTGCCAAAAGATACTGGGAGTAGGGAAGTGGTTGGGATATGATTCATGCACTAAACTGAAGTAAAAGCAAGTTTCCAGTGGTGGGAGTGACTAAGAGGGGGTTCAGGCATTGTTTAGTGAGTCATCTTGTCCACATTTTTTGTCTCCAGCAGTAACCAATGGCAAACTGTTCAGAAGAAAATGCAAAGCACCTTGCAAGGAGGTTTACAGGTTGACTGTACTCCAGAGAGATTTCCTTCCTAAAAGCTAAAAAGTGACCCTGGATTGATAAAAACTTCCAAAGCTTGTATGCATTTCACCAGTGATTTACTTGCCCTGTAGATGCTATTGCCACTTTTATAAACAATTAATCTCTTTTCTACTTCTAATATTTTGATGTTCTGTCTTGTGACTATTAATTTCTTAAATTAATTTCTCAAAAAAAACTGTAAGAAAAAAAGAATTTTTAAATCTTTTTTTTTTCAACATTTTTCAGTTTCCTTCACCCTTTCTTTTGTGCTAGAAGACAGAGCCCATATAAGATCATAACTGACTTTTATCTCTACCAGCTGACTGAGGAGGCAACACTGACTATAATTTTGCAAGGAGTTCTAAAGGTATTTTACAGATTGGCTTGGAGCAGGAGCTGCTGATGGATTCTGAGTTCTTTGATGCTTCAGATACTTAATGCCACTACAATAAGGGCTTTGCAAAAAAATGTAGTACAATTTTTCACAGCTGACCTTTTATGCTGCTGTACAGAAAAGTTTCACATCTCTAAACCTAGCTCAGAATAGCAACAGCTGATCTTTACATTTTAAATAACGTCATTCTAGTTATTTATAATCACATTGTAACATGAAATATTTGTCTTGCACCATCAGTGGACAACTGAGATGACACTGCCAATTCAGAGATGAAAAGATATGCTACATATGAGGCTTGAAAATAGAAAATTTTAAGAAGATGCTTTGCTAAGTTCTGATATTCATTAAAACTAACAAAATTATAGGGTTGAGTTTTGAGTTTATTTTTTGATTGTGTAAAGAAAGATTTCTGGGCACAGTGGTGCCAAAAAAATGTCTATCTGCAACACAAATCTTGACATGTCTAGGCTTTCTTGCCCAGATATGTAACTTTATGAAACACCCCTAATTCCCATTGTGAGTGAAGAAAATAGAGAAGATATATTACACAAAAAGCCTAACACTACCTATGTCCTCTAAATGCTGTACAACCTAACCTTTCTGCGGACAATTACCACATGCAAAGAAAGCAGAAGGAAGGATGTGTCCGAGGGGCAGAATATTCTTTAGAGAATGACAAGAGGATTTACATCCCAAAGGAACACTTTCAGCCACTGAAAACACTCTATCTCGAGGCAAAATGAGCAATATCATTTGTTCACTACACTAAAATCTGAATATGCAAAGGATAATGAAGAGGCCTGAAACATAGTAGCAGAACTAGGTATGTCTCTTCCTCTCTTTTTCTCTTTCAATTGGAACAATTTCCTCTTCACATTTTCTTACTCCTCTCCTTTTTCCCAAGCATGAAAAAGGTTTGAGGGGGTCCAGTTTGTTGCAGATAAATTGCTATGTAGAGATGTCGGTCCTTCCTTCCTTCTCACAAGGCTCTGTAGAGCTAAGCTACAGCCATGACATCCAGAGGTTATTAGATACACAGCTGACTGTGCCTTCCCTGCCAAAGTTCAAGTCTTCCTTTGCACCAAATAGCCTCAGAAGCAGAGGAGTAAACCAGTCAGTCATAGAATCACAGAATCATAGAATCATAGAATCAATCATAGAATCATAGAATTATAGAATGGTTTGGGTTGGAAGGGACCTCAAAGATCATCCAGTTCTGACAGTCAACACTTGCCTACACCAGAACACTCATCTGGTGTAGGCAAGATCTGCACTCACATCTCCAATCTAAAAAAAAAAAATCAGAGGATTTTGCCCTCTGCTTTATAAGATCTCTTTCAAGGTCTATTTGGAATGGAGGGAGAGAAGAGACTGAGTCTGCTGTGGGCGGTTTTATTCCCTCTTTGCAATTTTTAAAACCTTCCCTTTTAAAGCCACAGCAGAAGGTTTTACTCAGGGCTAACAGGGTATTTATATTGTGTGTTTTCCCTAGAGATGTATTTCTAGTAAAGAGACTGTATATAGTACTGTACTTTGATAATGTTTTAAAGGGATATTTTATGTTCACTCAAAATGTTCTACTTAACTCATCAAAAAAAGATAAAGCAGTAAATTAACACATATTACAAGAGTAAGTCTGAACTAGAAATTAACCACAACACTGTTGTCGTGCTTTTTCTCAAGTTCAGTTTGCAGAAATACTGCTGTAAAATATGTATTACTAGCGTTAAAAAGATGTGCTTTTAGATGAAATTGAGTTTCTAATAGAGAATTAGTCTATTTAGCCTGATGTCATATAACAGTAATAAAACTACTTTTAATTATGGGTTTAGCACCAGAGACCCTCGAGATTTCTTGGCTGAAGTACAGGTAATATTTTAAGAAAATTCAGTCTCGCATAACTTTTTCTTGAATCTAACTTAAAATTCTGGGTGCAAAAGTGGGGATTAACTTTAAATCACAATGGATAAATAACAGTAGTTAGTTGTTCAGAAATTAAAGGTCCATAAGGTTGATCTTACAAAAATAATCTTTTTTTTTTGTAAATCCACTAAGAATGAGGCAAGTTTTAAGCTTTTCTACTTCAGAATACTTTTGCAGTTTGTGAGAAGCAAAGCTGTGCTGGAGGACTTTATCGGATTTACCGTGCTTCCCATCAATTCAGACAATTGAAGTGATTTGTTTTTAATGTACTCTGGACAAAATTCTTATATATATTTTGTGTTTGTACAGAGACCTTTAGATTAACTCTATAATAGGAAATCAAACAATACAAGGAAATGTTCCTGGGCACTGCTGTTGGATATTGTGACAGAGTGGCCCTATGAATTGCTTGGGAGAACATGCAGGAGTTAGCACATCTCAGGGACCATTTCCAAGGGTAGTTTAAGGGCAGTCACCTGGTTTTGTGGAACAAGGAATATTAATAGGATGGAGAAAGGCTGTGCTGTGCTAATAGATCTCTGGGCTGGAAAATAGTCTTAAACACCCCAGATCAGGCTTATGTAGAAGACAGACATTTACTCTCAGAATTGTGATCCTGAAGAACATTACGTGGGTTCTCCCTAACCCTCAATTTATCTAGACTCCTTTAGTGTTTTCTTTCTTAGTACTTACTCTCACTTTAGATGATTCCCAACCCTTACATTTATATCTTTGCGTATGTTAAGAATCATTGGGAATGTTATAAGGCATATCACAAATTTGGGATGTTCTGTTGTTCTTATTTGTTGCATATTGTTCCTAAATGAGCTATGTGTCTTGATAAAGTTATGTTAAAGTACATTGTACTTTATTTTCTATCAGACTTAAATCTGGACACAAAGTGCATTTAATCCCTTGCTTTCCCTATAGTCATTTCTCATTTCCTCAAAAAGAAGATAAAAAGGAAGAAAATTACTAGAATATTTAGACCTTGCCTTCTTTTTGCTCTCCAATGGAAGGAATGGAGCCTTTAGATACCTGCACAACTTACAAAGTTATTGTAATATTTTTATAAAGTGTATAATGTGTTATTCACCACAGCAGCGTTCCTCTCTCAAATTAGGGTCGAGAAATGCTGGTATTAATCAGCCTAATGCTCTTGAAGGGAAAATCTTTAAGCGAGTTGGACATGCAGGACAATGTCTAAAGGCAATCGTGGTTGCTACTTCCTTTAATGAAGTGGTCCCATTTGCCTTTATGTGAACAGAAACTGCCTGAAGTCAGCATGTTTGACATGCAGCAGCCCAAACAGGTTGCCATCCAGAACTGTTGGAGAAAACTCCCTGCTTTAGGTGGCTTTTACTCAAAGCATTTGTTGTTTTAAATCTTAATTTGTCATACTTCACTATCTTTGTGCACTGTGTATGGATTCTTGAAATGCCCAGTTTCTCAGTTCCTCCTTGAACATATCAGTCCTAAAGCTCTGAGGCTCTTAAATCTTGGTTATGACCCAGGTCCACGTGAAAGAATTCTTGCAAGTGGTACATGACCCAGAGGAGTTAGTGTTGGTGCTTAACCACAGATTTTCCTCATTTCCTCAAATTTGTTGTTTTTCCTTTATGAACATACCAAACTATTTCACGGGAGTTTTATTATTTACTATTTGTTATTGCCTTTCTTTATTTTTGTTTTATGCCTACTCAAGTGCACTGAAGCAGTCAGATACCACTGGAATTGTACATGTCACTAAGATAAATGAAGTCCCATTTGTTCCTTCAATTTCTGTTAGAACATGCAATATAACTTGTGTATTGCTGAAGATAATATTTCACAAGTTCTTTAAAGATGCTAGGTGGTGTCAGATGTGGGCTTTCTTTAATCAGATTCTGCATATGGTTTATTAAATTGTCAAAGGTCATATGCCTAAGTGATAAAAAGACAGTTGGTATTTTGAAAGTAATAATTGTCATATCCTGTAATTGCAAATGATATAGAGAATGGTTAAAGCAAATGTTTGCATTACCTGTTGACCATGATAAAACACGGCTAAAAGGAACATTGCCATCAGTAGTAAAGATGCCTCCTTTGTACCCAGGAAGTCTGTGCTGGAAAAAAGATCCAAAGTAAAACATAGTTATTGATTTGTCAGTGTTGTAATTGTTCAGTTTCATTTCATAATGCACCCTGGTACTTTTTGTTGTTCTTCAAAAAGTAAATCCTCTGTATTTGAAAATACAATTTAGCAATAATTAGTTCAAGACAACAGGAGTGTAATTGGAGTGTTCACTGTTTGGAGACAAATATATTAAATAACTAAACTGCGGCCTACAGTAGGTACACAGAAGGTGATGATCTGTCTCTTTCAAATGTGATATGCAAAGCTGTGTGTCAGTCTCTTTTCCTGGGAGCTTGGTAAATAGCCATGAGCACCATAGCCCCTGCAGAGTACAAGAGGTGGGATCTGGATGGGGCAAGGTTGAGGCTGCAGCTGGGAAAGGAAAATTTCTAAATTGTGAAAGTAAAAGCTCAGTGAATGGGCCTAGAGACAAAAAATGAACCCCAGGGCAGGTGCTGAAAGTTGAACATCCCCATACTATGAGAAACATTCGAAGAAGATGACAGGTGAGTTGAAGAAGGAGGTGTGGATCAAAGGGGAATCAAAAAAAATGGCAAGCAGTAACTAGGACTGGTTTTACTGAGCCACAAAGAGGATTGAAGAGAAGAAATGTCTGCCTATAACAGGGGAAGTACAGAAACCACCACAAACAGTAGTGAAAGAAAGAAGATGAGCCAAGAAAGTACTGGCTATATGAAATTCGTTGTATGAAATCGCTGAGATGCTGTGTGTGGAACATGAGGAAAGTGTGACAAAACAAGGTAAAAGGGGTCCAGAGCAGTTAAAGAGGGTTTCAAATATAAAGAGAAATTACAGTTCTGTAGAAAGATGACAGAACTGAAGAAAGTGACTATCTCTGTAATATCAAAGGATTTTAAAGACATGCTTCCGAGGGGAAAAGACATAAATGGAGACGTTGGGAAATGATAGAGCCAATCTCATAGTAGAACAATAGAGAAAAAGAACTAAATTTGGATACAAATTTAACATGGATGCTTGGCAATTATTTTGTTGAAGGGAGATGAAGAAAGATGAGGAAATAGTTAAGAGATGTTTAAGGCTTGAAGTTGTGGAAAAAGTTTATAAAGGAGTAAACAAGGAGCAGAATTTGGAAAAGACTTTGGGATACTCTTTTGTCTACCTTGAGATCCAAGAATAAATCAAAGTCCAAACCTTGAATCCATTTTCCATAGTAATTTTGAAAAAAGGATCAGGTGATATTTGTCAGAGGAGGACTCTTATGACAGAGAAATTAGAGAGAGAAAGAGCAGAGCTTGATGGAAACTAAACCAAAAGAAAACTGTCTTTTGACAGACCTAACTCTAACTGACTTTGTGGGCCTAATGAAGAATTTACTGTGAGGAAATATGCTGCTATGGGATGAGTCATCTGTATAAAGCAAAAGACAGGTAGGAAACATCTTTTTCAAGGCCAACATTTTCAAGGCCAGGTTGGACGAGGCTTTGGGCAACCTGGTGTAGTGGAGGGTTTCCCTGCCCATGGCAGGGAGGTTGGAACTAGACGATCTTTGAGGTCCCTTCCAACCCTAACCATTCTATGATTCTATGATTCTATGATCTTTGACATCTGCAAATATTTTGGAATTCAATTATTTCCCATTTTGAAGTTGTCTGAAATACAGCCTCTCAAAGATTTCATTCTGGAAGGACCCCTTGTACACTGGCTAAAGGCAGCAGAGTCAGAACTCTTAGTTACAAACTCATCCATTATTGCATATTGTGGTAATGTAACTATAGTCACAAATATATGAGCTAGATGAATTTCACAGGGATTTGCAAAAACTTTTTTTTAAACTAATCTATATGGCTAAGAAAACGGATAAGTTTCTGGGGCAGACAGCCTTGAACTTCATGCTCCCTAATGTCAGAGCTGAAGTTAAGATCCATGTCCTGAGTGTGGAGCATCTCAGCTGAGTTCCCTATGACCCAGGCTACAGAAACAGAGGCTACAGAAAACAGAGGCTACTCTAGAGGATATCCCTGGCTCTTTCTTATTCTTCCATGATAAAAGTCACTGGAGAGTTTCACTGACACAGGAAATATAAACTCCTCTGAATTCTCTAAGGTTTCCATGCGAGGCAGAATTTTTCTTTGCCATGCTTGATCAGTGACAAAAATTAGAGACAACGAGAATGATTTTTACTTCTAGTTACTTAGCCAAAGTATTGCTTGCTGTCATTTGTCGTATTTGCTGGGCTCTGCTGTGAATATGCTAAATGACATGTTGTTAGTCTGTAGGAGCATAACTAGCACTAGAAAAAAGGAATTGTATCCCAAATCTTTAGTACTTTGCTACCATAGAAAGCTAGCAAGAAAGATACACATGCAGAGCCTTGCTAATGAGAAGATGTGGCTGTTGTGAGAACTAATTGCACTGCAAATCCATGCTTTTCTGTTGTTCTGAGAATCTTCATCCGGCATACGCTTACAAGCACAAGCAACTGCAATATTAAATCGGTCAAGTATCAAAGACTGAAGAAGTGTTTTTCTGAATGAGCTAAATCACTGCTGCTCTAGATTCAGTTATTGCAACACTTGATGTACCTCTGACTCTGCAAATTACTGTGGCTCTTCTGTTCTCCTCTTCAACTCCTCTTGCTGGGAAGGAAGCCTGGGAGAAGGAGTCTGTCCTTCAAATGCACTCCTACAAAATGGGATCATTCCTGTATTCCTTCTGTCTTCCACAACTACATCCTATAGTCTGAATTTTATACAGTTAAAACTCTGCCTCTAAAATATCAGCTGTTCACTTCTGTTTTCTTAAATTGAGGTAAGAATTTCAATCAGTATCTCTGGAGTTTTCAAGAATAGAAGCAAACAATGTACATGTACTGTAACGCATATTTTTAGCAACATTGATAGACTATGTGAGACATAAAAGACAAACCCTGTTTAAAATTTAAATGTCGCCATGAAATGAACATTTTAATAAAAAAGCCTCAGAAAGAATCACATTATAAATCTTTTTGGACTAGTCATTGTCTCTTGCAACCATCACTCCATACTTATCTATAGTGCCATTTTGTGCTTGTATACTCTGGCAAGACTTGACCTACTACCTTGTTAAAAAGCAGTTCCTAAAGGGGGCTGTGAACACTTACTCTCCATTGTGGTTAAAGTTGTCATATTGCAGAAAAAGGGAAGCATAAATGGTCTCAGTCAGCAGAGAATAGATCGCAATCATGATGAGAAGTACTGCCAGCTTCAGGACGGAGTTGAGACGAAGAAAAACTGCACAAGTCACCATTGCCAGCACACCAGTGAAGACAAAATACTGAATAGAAAACAGCAGTGGTTACTTTCAGCCATCAGTGACCACATATTCACTCCGTAAGTATCTACATAAATGATCAATTGATCAGATTTATAAAAAAATTATTCTAGATTTCAGTGCTCATCTAAGTCTTCTTAGGGTACAGGGCATTTTGGAAATAATGGTTTTGCTAAAATAGAATGTGAAATTACAAATTCTATTTTGCATGGCACCTCTATGTTAACAGAAATCCTCCTCTGTGCCTTTATGGCATTTCATTGTTATAAGGGAAAGGGCATCCTGTGTAGTGAAAAGAAGACAGGGAGAGGTGCTGCTTGTAGTTTGCTAATGAAAAGTCAACTGAGAGAAAATAATTTATGTTGCTTTGGATTCTAAACTTCCACAAGGCCCACATTCATCAGGATGGGAGAACCATTAATCCTTTTCCCGTGCTACTTGAAGAGAGGATAAAGCCACAGGTTTGGGAGGGGGTTTATTTTTAATTTTTTAATTTTTAATATTGTAAGTTAAACTTAGTTACATTACTCTCTTAAAATGTGTTTCCTGGAAGTTTTATTCATATCTCATTTTCTGATCTCTTCATTGTATCGTTTTCCTCCATGATTAGTTATCTGTCAAATGCAATCCCTGCAATTGATACTGGATATAGAGAGACAATCATGGCCATGAGCCATTCAGATCTAAAATAGCAACATCAACACTCACAGCCCAAATGTAGCTTAAATTAACTTCTATCATACAGCTTTAGGAGACATAGTATTCATTTTTCCAAGTTCAGTTTTTCTTTAGTATGGTTCCTCTCTAGGAATATGTGCATCCCTGCAATTTGTGGCATACTGTTGACAGTAGCATGACACTGCCATATGACTTTCTAAACAACATACTTCTTTTATCTGCACATAACCAACCCATTGATTTTGTTGCCTGCTTGCTCATCATAGAAAGGATTTTTTTTTTCTCCAAATGCAAATTTAAAATAACTACAGGAGGATGACGGCTGATTTTGTTATGTAAGAAGTATTAGTCTCCATTAGCTTCATATGAATTAAGTAGTGTGTTTCATTGCAGTAGATTCATTGAATCACTGCTGGATGTGTTTCCAGCATAAAGGTTTTATGAAGTTCAAAGGTTGCAACTTGGTTGTAATGCCCCATTGGACCATGAAATTAATTCTGTCTGTAACCTGCCTCTGCTTTTTCTATCAGCGTATGGATAGATGCAAAGGTTCAGCTTCACAGTGTTGTTGAAGCACCTGACTCCACCACCAAAACACAGGTCATTGATTTTAGACAGTGGTCGACGTGTAACCTTTGTGGATCCATGCCTCAGATTCAAATGTACTCTCAGAAATACCTCAGGATAGGAACAGATGTCCGTAAAAGATGCAGATGAATTGAACGTCTGGTTCTTCAGGGCTACTGGTTTGTCAAAATCACACCATAGCTGTGAAGAAAGAAAAAAAAATCAAGGCTATATTCTGCACTGGTGACTAAGTGCTTGTGTGGCTGGCTGGCTGGCTTCAGGGGTGGAAATGGCTGACCTGCTGCTCTCCATGGCAGCTGCCTAACTGGCACCAAGGACTAAATGAACAGTAAGAAGACGTACTGTGGAGATGAAAGGGAAAGGATTGAGCTATTCATGCTACAGACATTCAGCGTCTGAGTAGCCTTCCTATGCTCTGCTGTTGCCAAATGGGAAAAATGAGCTCCTCCAGGAGCTTCAAAGGACTGATATTGAACTCTTCAGAATCACCCTCTCAAAATGTTTATATTTTGCTATAAACCATAGAGAAAATTATTAAATTTGGAGGATAAAATCAGATTGCATGTATGCACTTGCAAGTAGTTTTTTTCTGCTACATTGCTATGGACAGTATCATCCTTCTAGACATGGGACAAAATCCCATAGCATCATGTAGAATTGGCTTGTGCCAAAACATGGTGTGGTCCTAGAACTGTAACTGTGACGACTAGAAGGGTAGGGCATGAAAATTCATTCATATTATATTGGTTTTGAGAATGTAATACTGCCTTTTGCTTTCATGACCTATGTTCATTTAAATAGTATTTCAAACCAAGTGCGTTAAATATAAACAAAACAGCAGTGTTGAGTTGCAATACATCATAGACTTAGGACATAGGAAAAAAATCATTAATGGTTTCATATTTTGACAGTTAAAGCAGATGGAGTCTCCTCTTACATATATTAATCCAATCTGGATGTTTATACTAGGTCATCTCATCAAGCTGGTATGCACAAGCCAGTTCCCCTGTCTTTCTTTCCAACAGATTTAGAGAGTTTGTTTAATGAGGCCTGATTTCTTATAATTAAATTCTAATGAATTTTGAACTTGGAACTCTCTTGTTTGTTCTTTGAGCAATTCAGTCATCTCTGCAATGCAGCAACATTATCTAGGTTGTTGTTGCAGTTCTCCGTGACAACAGACAGTTAATGGTACCTTCTGCAAGTTTATGCGGTGTACAGCACCTCTCTGCAGGGCTGAGTGCCATGGGAACCACTCTGGATGTCTTTTTAAAAGACTTTCAAAATCAGAAACTTTATTCTAATTTTACAACAGTAAGAACGCACTTGATGTAAAGATCCACAAGACTCATTTGCCTTCCTGGTGAAACCAAAGCCTTATGGCTCTTGTTAGAAAGTATCTGAGCCTTAGTTCCCTCCAACTGGGTGCAGTTGAACTCGGTGGATGCATATAGCACAAGGGTGAGCTGCATTCGCTGTTCTTAAATACATGTAGATCACTCCCGAGCTCTGCAGTCCACTATATGGAACCCCACTGGCTGCTGTGGTGCCTGCTTCTTTTCGGTGAAACCAAAGCCTTATGGCTCTTGTTAGAAAGTATCTGAGCCTTAGTTCCCTCCAACTGGGTGCAGTTGAACTCGGTGGATGCATATAGCACAAGGGTGAGCTGCATTCGCTGTTCTTAAATACATGTAGATCACTCCCGAGCTCTGCAGTCCACTATATGGAACCCCACTGGCTGCTGTGGTGCCTGCTTCTTTTCTTGTAACTTTTTTTTTTTTTTTTAGAGGGGTACAGGAAGCACTTAAAAGTAAACTATTATTATGGTAGGATTTTTACATATGAAATAATGAGGTTATATGTGGTCTCCTGTAGATGTCAGGACTTGGTGACTCAAGTCACTGCCATTCTAAATATATGACAATAAATATAACTGTTTACTGCCTCATAGAAGCCCATTGGTATGAGTGTAAAAAGAATTATATTTCTTTTGACTGTTTTTGGATTAGCCATCCCACAAGACTGCAGCAGACAAAATCTTAAAAAATAATCCACAAGAAGTCAGAAACAAATCTTGTTATTATCATATCCGTAGCAAAGAGGGTACAGATAGCCCTTTGGAGTTCTTCCTGTTTCAAGACCAAGATTAACTCTACTAAAATATTTCCTGACAGATATTTGTCAAATATGATTTAAAACCCCTAAATTCTGCAACGCTCCTTATAGATCTATACTATGATGTACCACTGTTCTTATCTTCGGGGAGTTTTCAGTCCTCTTTAACTTCCTATCATTTGCTGCATTTGTATTTTCTCTGTAAGGATAGCAAGCAATGGCTACATTCTTCATTCTCCTACTAACTCTCCTATCAGTGACTGCATGGTATCACTAAAAAACGAAGACAGCTGCTGAGTCTTAGCGTATTGGTAACCTGAATACAGTCACAGAATAATGACAGCAATAGAATGTAATAAAATGTCATATCTGTTAGCAAAAGGTGAGTACCTGATACCTTGAAGTATCAGACTTCAGCATACTTACTGCAATGATATAATAATTATTATTATTATTATTATTACAGGATGATTATTGTTGCTGTTGTGTTGTTATAGTTACTATTGTTATTATTGTCACTAAATGCTTTCTTAGTCTCACCTAGTAGGAAACAAATATTTACGAAGAATAAAGTTTAGATGGAAAAGCACTGCTACATCTGTAGCTGAAAGGTGCCCTACAAGAGGAAATAGTGATGAAAATGTTATTTTTAATCTATCAGAGAGATATTTACCTTCTTCTTGGCTCAGGCTTCAACACCTGCCAGGTTGTGTGACATGATAATCTGCCTAATTCATGCAAAGCTCTCTCGTATTTCTGAAGACATCCAGATAATCAGGGCTCTATTGTATTTGCATTTGTTTTATACACGTCTTACAAAGACCTCACTCTTTTACCATGTGACATTGTATAGAGCCAGCCCCACAGTATTCAATTACCAATATTTTTATCTAAGCACAGCTGTTAAGCAAAGCTTGGTATATGTATTTCCTCACTCATCCATATCAGATATACGATACATACTGATGATATAGATATATTGATATATCAGTATAGATCAGATATACTGGTAAAATTTGCTCTAGATTCATCCCGTTTCAGGATCTTAGTGGAGACCTGTATATTAGGAGCCTAATTAGACTAAAATGCCACGGCTTAGATTGACAGTCTTTAAGAAAGTATATCAGCATGTCAGAAAATTACAAATGGTCCTCAAAGGGTGGATATACTGAACAGAAAGTAGCAAAACAATTTTAAAAATAGATCATACTCATGACAGAGAAATAATTAGATATTTCAGAAACACATAGTTCAAGCAACAGATTGAATATCCTGAAGTTGTGGTACTTCGCCTTTTATATTTAAATCATAGCTAGCTTATAAATACATTAGTTAGCAAGTCCTGTAGCAAGCTTAATAATTCATAAATCATCTTTTCCTGTATAATATTCCCTGGTTCACTATAAGCTTACAATATTGATGATGGCTCCAAGAAAATTAATCAGAATGGATGCAAATATAATGACATTCCTGGCCAGGTAGGTCTCATTAATCCAGCAGCAAGTTTTCCGGAGCATTAAGGGTAAACATTTGTAATCTTCTGCCGTAGTGATTAGCACAAGAGCGGAGTGCAGCATAATCAGAATAGAAAACTGAATGACCATTGGTATCACCCTAGGGGAAAAAAAAAAGAGAACCTAGCATTAAATCTAAACACAACACCTCTGCTTACAAAAATAAATGTACAAACAGTTAAGACTATGAAAAATCAGCTGTCATAAACCCACGACAATTAGTCTAGGAAAAAAACCTAACCCAGAGACAGGAAAGATTTCTTCATGTTCCATAGGTCTGCTATTGCTTCACATGGTTTCTGACTGAGAAACTGCTGCTGAAGAAATAAGCCAGGGAAATCATTGCTAGTGCCTCTATCTGTCTATATAGGGTCTGAGTGGCATGAATGTCTCTTCTTTCAGGACTTGGTTGTTCCTTAAGTTTCTTTCACAGCAAATCTATTCAACTTGTAGGATCTTGATGTCACTTATGCATGAGCTGGTTCCCATTCTTGTAGGTTAGTTTGGGGCTAGTTCAGGAGAGTTATTTTGTCTACAGTACAACATAGGTGTCTTAAACTCATACTATACTGAGAGTCATAGACTCTAAAGTGAGTACAACAATGCAGCAAGATTCCCCTCATTTTAATTAATAGTGGGTCAACTGCAGCTAAGAATCTCATTGGTTTCTAAAAAAGCAAAAGAACTGATTTACTGTTTTCATGGAAGCCTTTTAAAATATAAAACAAATCAAAAGGTGTTCTGTGATCCAAACATGTTTAAATAAACTGTTGCAATTATGATCCTTTCAAGTATTGTTAAGTGCATATACAGGATAGACAGTTCAACTCCTTTAAATAAACCATTAAAACCCATAAGTTTTTCTATTCCAACTTTATTTTTCTAAATTTATTCCTTTCTTGCTTAAATCTGGGACCTGATGTCAATCAAGTAACCTATGTGGTTGGGAAATGTGGTAAATTGTTTTACTTTACTGAGAAGAAAGCACTCAGCACTTCAATTTTTTCCCCCTATTTGTGCTAGTCATCGCCTTTCTGTGTCTTTTTTTCTCAAAGATCAAACCCATACAAAATAGTAACTCCACTGCTCCTGTAAAACTCTCCCTTCTTCACTCTACTTTTCCTTGACTTGTGCTATAAGGAGAATGATTAAACTTGAGGCTTCAAATTAAGTAATTAAAATTTCTAACCTAGTTGTACATGAGCCTGTACCCTACAGTGATTTAATCATAATGTCTCATAGAAAAAAATCTTTGAAAGTGGTCTATCAGGGTGGTCCAGGGAGACTTACGCCCTTTCAAGTGGCTGAGTGTAGGTGAGCTGTACTCTGCTCATCAAGCCTTCTGTAAACATATGTTTTATTGAAAACATGAAATTTCAGATTTTGCTATGTCACCTATCCCTCTTCTCTTTGGGTAGAGTGCAATGCTGTTTGTACACTTGTGCCCTAGGCAAGACATATTTAAGGGTATAAGGTGGAAACAGAAGTGAAAACATTAACACAGCTTTTCTTTCCTTGTTTTTCAGTCAGATTGACTCCTTGAATCTGAATGGACCATGTTCTATAAAATTTCAAACTCATATAGATCTGAATTCACATCTATGGTTTAAGCCTATTAACTTATCTAAAGCTTTCACTTTAGAAGGTGTCATCATAAGCTAAAAGATTATAACCAATGAGAAAAGGAAACCACACCGACATAATGGCAGGAGAGGACACATGGACATAGCAGGACAATCTTGGGAATCAGACTGTGTTGGAACTGGCATTTCTTAGCTCCAGTCATGCTTAAAGCTGATGGATAGAGTCCAAAATACTTGAACCAAGGAGACACCAAATATGCAGCAGGTAGTTTATGTGAAAACTGAGTAGATCTTCCTCACAGTACTGATGTTTGTAGAAAATACATTGAGAAAACAGGATAAATGAAAATGTTTATGTTCAAAAGGAAATATATTTTTTGGAGCAAAGAAGGCATAAGTCAGAGTATATGTGGGTATATGGTCATGTTGAGGGAAAAGACTTAAATAACATATGAGGTTACAGATGTCCAAGTGATAGAGACTTAAGTGCAAAATGGTAATCCTGTACGCTTTAGCCTGTTTAATTTTAAATATTATCTTTTACAAGAATGTTCTAATATTTAATGCTGTAATTCATCTGTTATGGTAGAGATTCATATACATTAAATCTGATGGTGTTTTAAAGATGGTATTTGCATAAACATTATTCCTTTTAGATCATCCAAACAGACTTACTGGGACAATGAGTCCTTTAAAGTATCAGGATAGAATAAAATGCAATTTACTTTCAACTTTCTTGTCCATCATCTACTAATATTAATCAAGCTAACACATAAGTATGATCAAGGTATAGGATTTTGAAAACAGCATGCAAGCCTCAGAATAGTTTCCAGTAATGCAGCTATGGCTTATAATTCCAGCTCCTACTCTCAGAACCTCAAAATTAATGAGACTTGCAGTGTAAGAGCCCAGAAAAGAAAATGGGTTAAAAAGATAACAAACAGAAAACAAGGTTGTAGTTCTCAGAGAGTTTTTCTTTTGGAACGTGTCTGAACTGCTATAAGTAAGATATATATGCATAAATGATTTTTTTTTAGTACCAAATTATATCACAAAACATTTTGAAATATAATGTGAAAAATATCAAAATAGAAGTTCTGTTCCCCAATGAACTGAAACAAGATGGATTACACATTAACTTCCCTTGAGAGCTTCCATGTGCTAATATTAGCTTTGCCACTGTTCTGATGGTGTACCATTGGTACAAAAAGTTATGTTACACTTGAGTCAGCATTTCACTCCAACAAGCTTTGTCAGAGTTTCGTGTGTGACTTGAATATAAGACACAGTGGAGATTCCCCAAAAAGTGCTATGCTCTCCAGCAAGCTCACCCAGAAATAAAGCTTGATTTTGAAAGAAGGAACAACGTAGCCAGTAAAAACAAACTATACTATGAAGGGAAGAGTGAATAATGAAGAAACAAAGATTCGAGTGGGACGCCCAGATTTGATCCCGTGTGACTAAAAGTTTTATGGGAAGAATCTCAGGACTTGCTGAAAGTCCCAAGGCTACCGAGTAGAGACACAGTGCAACGATGTCTTGAGAACAGCTTGTGCCTGTGAAAATACACAGCCAAGGGAGAGACAGTCTATAAAATCAGGGAAAAGATGGACAATATATTCATGGAGAACTAGTCAAGGGAGTCAAGAGGGCTCAACGAGAAAGCTGTGTAGTTTATTCATCTCACTGCACAGCAGTCTCTTACCTTTATTTAGGTGGAAGACATCTTGAGATTCACTGATTGACCTGTTCTCCAGTGGCTAAACTTTGAACTTGGGATATAGACGCTGACAGATAGTTGTATGAGATTAATGCCTTCAGTTTCCCACATTACAGCAGTATTCTGCAATAGCCTTCTTGCTTTCCAAAGCCAAATGACTGAGATCCTCTTCAGAACTGATAGGTTCTATCTATATCTCAGATATATATAGTCTATACATGCAGACGTAGCTTACCAATTCTGCAGACCTAGCCTGACTCAGCTCTAAATGAAATGAAATTAAGACTTTCAAAAAGATTAGGGTCAAGTCTCAAAAGCTCAGACCTGAGGACACTAAACACGAGTTCTCATTTTGAACTGCCAAACTCTACATGTAAGACTCAGCGCTACTGAATTAAGGTACTATAAAGGTAACATCTAGCAACTTAAGTGTGAAATATCAATCCAAAATGCAGCATAACCCGTTTAGGTGCCTTAGAAACCATGACCTTGTATTTGTTCACAATAAATATACAGGCAACAAAAATTCTTCCACTGTAGCTGTTTGGTTGAACATTGATGTGTTTGTCTCTTGTTTATGCCTGCTTGAGATAAAAACAAAACTGAAGCCTGAATACCTATGACCTCCTAGTGGATCAATCCAGTATTTGTGCTAAGATTTTGTTGGCAGCATGATAAGATCAAATACAGAAGACATAGCCAAGGTTAGAAGAATAGGAACAAACAGCCATAACATTCTTCTGTCCATGAACTTCTCCCAGAACTAGGACACCTGGGTTGCATCCCCTTTTCATTCAAGATCAAACACTTTTCTTACTAGGGGTTCCCTTACTATGAAGATCAAGTGAAGTTTGAAATGGAGATTTTGACTTCCCTCTTCCTCATGTAGAGTCACAAATCAACACTTGAGCCAGAAGGAAAACTTACATAAACCAGAAGATGTAGATGTTTAAATGAACAACAGTTTGAAATCTGTTTTTCCCCCTTACAAGAACAACCCAGTGAAAAAATTAGAGTTGTTCAGCAGTCTGCTCTAGTATGATCTGTTGCCCATGTGAGCATACAGAAAGTTCATTGCAGGAAATGAATCAAACTCCCGGACCTCTCAGAGGGAGAAAATGAATCACTGCAAGGTTGACAATGTAACTTAATGGCTTCATAGAGGATAATTACAGCAGAAACATGGCACTAATTTATGTCACTTACAGTAATTTCCCCAACTCAATATTTCAAAGAATGAAAACTATTTCAAAGATTTTTAAATTCAGTGATGTGCCTGGCTTGTCAGGGAAAAGTATGAATGGATCAAATATTTATCCTGTGGGAGACAGATATAAACTGAGACAAAATTCTGAAATTCCCTCACACAGTAGATGCAATAATAGAAAGATGATTCCCTTCTTTAACATATAGACTAAGGCAACCTGTCTGGGAAACTCCCTAAAGATCCTTAATAAGATATGTTTTACGATGGTTTAAATAATGTTTTCTTTCACTGAATTTCCAGAAATCCCCATAAGACTTAGCTCAGAAAAATCTTCAAACATGTACTTAAACAAATACAAAATTCCATCCTTGTTCAACAGACCTCTGAAGGATTCATCGAAAGACACTTAAATGTGTTGTCGGGAAATGGGCAAGTTACCATGAGGAGTGTGAATTATAATTTGTTAGTTGCTCCATGGAAATGATGTCCATGCTTTTCTACTGCAGTAGTTTATTTCTCTGATATCTACTAGAGGTATAACAGATGAGCATGCAGTTATCTCCAAGACTCTCTGAATCCAAATACTGCCTAACTTTGTGGTATCTTGTTCATGTGCTCATACCTTGAATTGCTTTTAGAACTAGAATTTAGGAAATTTGAAGTTCCAGATTATTTCTTCATTCAATATGTTGAAGCATATTGAAACCTTCTCACTCAAAACCTCTCATCCTGTTATTTTAGGGTTGCTCATCTGTTGACCTCCGCTCATTTAACAGGCATGTTTTTTTAAGACTGAAACACATTTTTTGAAGCAGAATATCAGAACTTGAAAATGAAGACCAAAATTTGCCTTCTTAAACTTTGACAGTGATCTTCAGCTACTGGATGAATATAAGAACTGCCATAAAGCACCCATGTTGCTTGAAATCATTTCTCACAAAAGAGATAGAGGTAAATATCCTTTCCCTAAATATCTTTCCAGGTTTCAGCAAACAACTTTTAAGGGCATTCTTGACGCCAAGTTTCCATACTTTTGTTTAAAAAACTCTGCTAATCTTATCTTGTAGGAATTTATTTAATCTTTATAATCTTTATTTGAACCTATTTGTATTCACACTCCTTTTAACATTCAATGTCAAAAAGGTCCACAAAGTATTTCTGAAGTGCAGGGGAAAACACTGGACTACTATGCAAGATGGGAAACCAGGAAGTAAGACAGCTGCAGGCCATGTGGTTATGTGACTCCTTCTTCCCTAATTCCAATAGCACTAGACACCCTCATGAGAATTAACAGAGATGAATCTGTGCAGACAGAAAAATTGTCATGCTTTTTTTGCCTGTATAGCAGTGATTGATATAGCAGCAGAAATCTTTTTTGGAAAAAGGGTTCCATTAATAAGATCCACAAATCTTCTTGTAAATATTGAGAGAAAAAAAAAACCAAACAGTTAACAGAAGTGAAGAATTCTGAATGGGTATTGGGTGAAGAACTCTAAAAAAGCTAACAAACTTACTAGTATTAGAGCAATATAGCTCATAAGAAACAGCAGGTCAGGTACTACTCCGGGTACTTTCCCACCTGAAAACTATGGGACATCACTGCTGCAGAATGCAGTTGCCTGCCTGCATCTAACCACTATTTTTGTATTTTTAGGTATAAACATGGTGAACCACGTCTTCCAGAGCTGATCCAAGAAATATTGCTGTATTACTGTAACACAATAGATGTCTTATTTCTTATACAAATACTGTATTTTCAAGGTTATTCTACAAGCAGCTATAAATTAAGGTTCATCTGAGTGTTAGAAGCCACCTGAGAATTATGTTCATCTGGGCATTTCCATTTTATCACTTGCTCTGCCAAAGACCAAATGAGACCGGGGGCATGCTTTAGTGGCAGTCATGTTCTGCTGATTCTGCTACAATGTTAGAAAACTGACCTTAGTCCTTGTACACACTCTTGTGTTCTCACTATTAAATAGTAGACAAAAATGCCAACTGATGGGTTTGACTGTGTGAAATGTGGACACAAAGGTCTCAACTATGTCATATGTTTGTCACCTCAATACGAAGTTGTTGCTTGGTCAGCACCAGATAAAAGCAGAACTGAGAAAAGATCTACCAGATTACCTCCTTGCTGCTTCTTAATGGCACAAGATTGCTTTCCTCAGATGGATAATATATATCATCAACAACAAAGACGTACAATTTTCAGCAACAGTACAATTTTCTTATGTAGCGTGTAAGAAACCAATCCAAACCAATCACTGATTCCCAAGGTGATTCCCAGTCACTTAGCAAAGAGGCATTGTTATAAGTCTGGATCATGTTTTACTGCTGGAAGCAGTAGGCCATATTGTGTCAAACTTTGTAATCCAAAATTCCTGCTTATCTCAGTGGGGATTCCGCTTAAAACCATAACACCGTAAATGCTGCTGTCTCACATGAAAACATATAGCTGCAGATAATGTGATGCAAAAGTATTTAATACTGGGGAAAAAAAGTGAAAAAACATTTCTAAACTTTTCCGGGGAACAAGCAGATTTTATTGGTTCATTCCACTTCAACCCCCGAAATGTTATCCCATTGTTTCCCCAAGAGCGCCTTCAGATATATAGAGATATATTTCTGTATTTACCTGGAAGAAGGAAGCAAGCTTTGGATAGCGGTGATAAATACAAGAACAATAAATGCGCACACCAAGTTTGATTTGAATACTTCATCCCGCATTTGAGAATACTAGAATAAAAACAAACCGGAAGAGTAAATTAGCTGTTAACCCATGCAGTAGTTTCATAAAGACTGACGCATATAGGAGACTTCAGGGAAATTAACAGGAAGAGTTAATAAATCAACAAACCTGATTTTCTTTTTAAAAACGAAACATAACAAATAAATCGTTAATGAGCTGGCAAAACACTTTATTCAAGAGAATAAAACATTGTAATTTGCCATACAAAGTTGTTTTACTTGCTTGCCCCTTTTTTCAAAACTGTTTGCTTTAAAAAAAAACAGGTAGATACTAGGGGATTTTGCTGCTGAGTTGAATACTAAACACTTATAGCTTAACCACAGGAACCATGGTTCTCCTCATCCGAAGACAGACACTGGAGTCAGCTGCAACCCTGCATGCATGACATGACGGAGGTGTCTCCATGCTTGCCAAATTAAGGCCATCCTGTTTTCCTTTTTACTTTTCTTTTCTAAGCAAAATACATAGTTTGGGACGTTCTGTGACTATTTGGGATGTTGGTCACAATCTCTATATCCTAACGTATCCAGAGGCTGTGCAGAAACTTGACAATATGGGCATTCTCCAAGGAGAAAATTAAGGTGTTATTATGTAAAAGACCATTTAAGGTGCCTTATTATTATGATTTATTGCAAAAGTATTTTTCTCCAGCATACCTAACCACTGAAAAGGCTAGCAGGCTTCCCTTTTATGGGAGTTACCAAGAAAAAGAGTAACAGATACACCAGTGAATCATGGGGGATCAGTTAAAAGTTGCAACTTTATCCAAGTCCTCAGCTGGTATTTATCACTGCTAATTCAGTTAAACTCCAATTGTTTACAGCAGATGAAGATTGGTCCTTAGATATATTTTTGTAAATCTCTTTATCCTATGCGGATGGCACTAAATTTTCTTCACCTAATAAAAAATCCCACAGATGCATGCCCCGGTCATTTTTCCTCCTCTGAACAATAACTCCGTTTTATTTAATCTATTGGGTTTTTTTTTTTTTGAAAGAGCTAAGAGTTACATGTGCAGAACAAAAGGAAATCAGGGTCAAAGAGATATCAGATATCAAAATCTTTCTCCAGCAATTTCGGAATGAGGCAAACAGCAGTCATAAATGCCTAGAGAGCATTATAATTGAGAACAATTAAAAACAATTAAGAAATGTGTCAGGAACATACATTGAGAGAGTTCAGCTATGAACTGCGTGTTATAACTAATCTGCTCTTGAAGGAAGACCCTATTTAGACTTAGACTACATTCACTACAGGGACCTTTGGCAGGATTGTCTCAGTTATAAACATTTGACCAAAACAGATTCAAGCTCCTGAAATGAGAAAAAGGCTTCTCTCTTCACTGCTCCCATTTATTATGAGTAAGAGAGGTGTTTATTTGTTGGCACCCCTCATTTTGAATCCCCCTCTGCTGTGATTATACCTTGTGTCTGATTTTGGCAGAAGCAGTATCAGTTTGACACGATTTTCAGCGGTGCTCGCAGGCAACTCAATTTCATTTTGCTGCTGAAAACACAGAGGCACTGACCCTAATATCATGTGCAGGAAAACACAACTGCATCAGACCACTTAAATAATGGACCAGGGCTTTTTTCGGTTGTGGTACAAAGAGAACCAAAGGCAGAAAGAAAGGTATGTTCCTTAAAATATAACATGAAATCCCAAGTATTCCTTAGGGAAATTATAGCAAACTAATTGAATGAAACACAAACGTGGAATTGCCCGCTGTGTCGAGGGTTGTGTCAAAAGGATGAATGCTGTGGTCTAATCAGTAACAATGTTGTGATGAGAAATTGTTAGCATTCCTGAGGCAGTGCAAACACCCACGATAAATGTAACACTTCTGTAGCAGTCTCCCCTTTAATGACTTGGAGAAGTAATAGAAGGATGGACTAAGCCTCAAGGCACTTCGAGAAGTTTGGAGAGGCATGCAGCCAACTAGAGTCATGCAGAGTGGTAGGAAGAACCGTGATGTGACCTACTCTGCAATGAGAATCTCAGCTGCAGCATCCTACAGACCTATTCGCGGTGCCGTTGACTTGCTCATGGAGTAGCGAAGGCTCACCCCGCTTCCCGTGGAGCTTGAGCCTTTAGCCTGCTGGGGAGGGCACTGTTCATCTGCTGGCTAGCTCAGGCAGCAAACTGAAACTGAGCTTGTGTAAGAAAGGCCAAGTTTCCCCTGCCAAGTAATGCTGCTTAGTCCCCATCTCTCCTCTTTTCCCAGAGGGAAGGGAAGTGTACCGAGAATAAAACAGGCTTTACATGTTCACCTACAGAAGTGTTTGTGCACTGGGGAGAAAGGGTTTTGGTTTTATCCTCAGCGCTGCTCTTTGCCTCAGACAGGACTTTATGGATAAAAAGGGAGACTATGGGCTTTTTTCATTAGAGCAATGGTGTTTGTGCCACTGGAAGAGCTTCTGCAGCACAGAAGAAGGACAGAAGAAGATGTATCAGGAAGCCCAAGGCAGGAGAAGAGATGGATGAACTCCTGAGAAGACCAAAGGGTAGACACAGATCCAGTTCTTGACAAGTGACAGAAAGGAAGATGCTGAACTGGCCCTAGAGTTTGCTCAGTGTTTCTTGCAGATCTTCTTGCTACCGGAAGTTTCTGGGTTGAACGAAAGAGGCGAGGCCCATGTCTGCAAGGATACAGCGTGCAGGAAGGACAAAATTTTTTTCCTGCTCATTTAATTTCTACTTATCTTACCCATCAGAAATTCTGAAACAGAGAAACTCAGACTTTTAGGTCTAATATTTGACCTAAGAAAACCTGTACTGTGAAATTCAAAGCCTTTTTGTATTTTCAGTGTGCTCACCTGACATAAAATACATAGACACTTCACCTCTAAGCCCAGTCTGATTTATGATCCCAGTACAAATAGGCAGGAAGACTTAAAATATATTTATACAGTTCCTTACATTGGAAACTTTCCTTAACAAAAACCCTACCAGCATGTAAAATTCTGTGCCCTGTTACTAGGTTTTATCCTGTATGAAAGTACATGGTAGTGATACTTCCGAGTCACAGCTATTAAGGTAGAGCATCATAATGATATATTTTAATTATTGGAAATCATTTGAAATAGTATCAGACTTTCCTTGTGAGCTATTACACATTTGAAAACCCTTAGTGTATTTTCATGCTACCATTAGAAATACTCTCCTGTGACGAGTCTTTTGTTCTGTCTGCCTATATCCTATTTGTGAAAATAACCTCTAGCAAAATTGAGAGTGAATTAGTCTCTAAATGAGATATTAAGTGCTAATGAATGAAATACAGTTTAGTAATGACTAGTCCATTTGGATAAAGAATCTATAAAATATAGCAGGTGGGGATCCTGTACAAATCCTCTGAAAAATGAAGTATTACACAATTCATGAGGAAATATACATACTGCCCCAGGGAGAAAATACATTCGCTAATGCAACCATTACTTCTTGCTGTGGAATCTACATTTATTCTATCATCAAGGACAGAGAGCAATGTGATAAAAGAGGACTGGGAAGATGTACCAATGGCTTAAAATACTGTGATATAGCAGTTATTTAACCATTGTACACCAAGAGCAGTGCTAGCTCCCGTGGTAGTTTTGGGCACACTGATTCCAGAAATTATTTTTCTTTTGCCTTTTAAAACCTTAAAGGAAGCAAAGAGCACCTTCATTGCTAGTGTAAATCTGCTGTCTGCAATTGTTTTACGATGAAAAAAACCCTGAAACAACCCAGACTGTTTAAACAGAAGTCCAGCATGACATTTGAGATCTATTCAAGTCACCCCAAAAGATTTATGATCCCACAGCATGGTAGTCCTGTTACTAATGCAGGAAGAAGAAATATAGTTTATTGTTCATACGGTTTCTCACTTCTTTATGGCTTGAGGTACAGAGCATTAGCACAATTCTCAGTGAACAAGGTTAAAGTAACAATTCTTGATCGGGATCTCAGCTACAGGTCCTGGTTGTTCTGCCTACTGAATAACTGTAAAGTCTGGGGTGAAAAGTACTTACAGAAAAAAGAAGTATTAAGCAGATACCAGAACTGCCTGAAAGTGTGATGGCTAAATGTGAGGTCACAAGATTTTACGTAGAAATGACTTCACATCAGATCTACCTCTGTCTTGAAGCTGCCACTGTGCTGAACAAAAGGTGAGTGACAGCAAATGGAAACAGCAGTGTGAGATGGGAGACCCATAGACATATATCACCTACTTGCTCAGCAGCACTGCAGGGAGCAGCTGGAGATGCTGATGTAGAAGGTCACGTAAACAGTTGCAAAATGTTAATGACTAGAAGAAAGCATAATTCCAGACTGAAAGGTTAGGGGTGGGGAGAGCAGAGGGAAAATGCTTCTGAAAGAGCTTTATGAGTTTATTTTGTTTTGTTTCCTAAATGGACCGGAAGAAGGGAAAAACCTGGTGTAGTGGAAGATGTCCCCATCCAAGACAGGTGGGTTGTAGCTAGATGATCTTTGAGGTCCCTTCCAACCCAAACCATTCTATGATTCTATAATATAAGATAAGATGGAGGAAATAGCTACCTTCTGTAGAAAAGCAGTTCACAGATTTTTTTTTTCATGACTGCCTGTAGCCTATGATTTAACACTAAGGCTGCTGGGATAAACCTGTAATTACAGCACAGGCAAGCAAGGAGGGAAGAGATATTCCCACATTGTTCCACAAAACGTTGCCACTGCCTATAACGAAGAGGGCATTGTGATTCATCTTAAATCCACATCATCCCTTTGCATCCTAGCACATTCCTCATTCTTCTCTGAGCACACCTATGGTGCCTCTGCATCCTGAACACAAACAAGGAGATTTCTGACCAGCAACTATCCAACTGCTGGAGGTGGATGAACCAGAGCAAGTAAAAGAGTGCTGATATTTTTTAAAACTTTACTTCTGTGTAATGCTAAAAACCAGTCTGATTTAGAGGACAGAAAGAAGATTCAGTCCACTTTATGGAAAAGATTTTGTGATTGTATTGCCTGTGCTTACTGGTTGGAACTAAGACCTAAGGAAATATTGAATGAAAGCACCATTTTATAAGCGTTGCAGCAGATGCTGGCATTGGAAATATCATATTGAGAAGAAAATGTATCAAAACTCCTCAAAATGTTGACTTTTAAATAAACTTCTTGTCATCCAGATGCAATTCAAAACATCATTAATATTTAAAATCTGACCTATGTCACATGATGGATTAGAGCATGGGCTTTTATACTACCTCTTGCTTAAATTGGTCATAAACAAAAATCTACACTTTCTGTATAGATTTTTCTTGTGGCTGCTAATTGTGAACTCTAAAATGACAAAATTTATATTCTGAATATAGGATATGATTCTGGACAGCGTTCTTTTACTCCAGGTCATGTTCAGGCCTCATTTTTATTAAATAGGAATGTATTGACTAGATGAACCATTGACTGGCTTGCTTATTCAGCAAGTTGTTTGTGACCAGGCTGTTTCCTCTTTTGAATAAAAAAATTCTAATATACTATCTGCCATCTTTTTCACCTTATCATTTAACCTTGTGCCTTGAAAAGATTAAAGATTACTCATGACTTTTGTGCTTTTAGATGATAACTATCAGGACATCGGAAATCTTGGATTTCACTTTCTCTTGGTCCCTGCTAGTTTTGCATGATGACTGCACTGAAAGAAATATCTTTCAGTAGAATAGAACATTTTCAGCACTAGTGGCTAATTCAGCTTTGACGATTCTACCTTGTGCCTCAGTTTCATAAATATCCTCTTGGGGAAACTGAATCTTTTTTTTTTTTTTTTTAAATGAACTTGTCTTTTGCCTTCTGCAGGATTGCTTGTGAAATAAGGTCTTAAATATACTTCAAGCAGAATTTTTCTTTTCCAACGGTTTTCATTAAGATCTCACCACTGATACCACCTGAGAACTGGTCTCCCACAAGTTGAGTAAAAAAGTCTGTTTTCCAGTGGAGGTTAAAGTGATGATGGAGAAGCAGGCCTCCATGCTTGTGCTTCCCTGTTATTTTTCTTTCTTTTCAGTCTAAGTGCACATCCTATTGCAGACCTGCTGTCGCTGCATTGTAATATCATACAAGTCAATGAAATAATTTGAGATCTGTGCAACCCCACCCCATGTCATCAGTTTGTAAGGAAAATTCTCCCATTACCTAATCTTTTTTAACTTATAACTTACATCTCAATATAGGCTGAAAGAGAGATTAGTGAATCATACTGATGTTGAGAAGCAGCAAAGACATGAACAATATTTACCTCTTAGAAGCAGATGTTAAAAAAAGGATGTTTAAAACAAAGAATTGACAAATTAGTTTTGACTTGAAATAAAAATAGCAGCTGCCTAGAGGACATCAGATGGATCCTACGACTAAATGAAAGAAACGTATCTATATAAATATAGATTTTTTTTTTAATAGAAGTGTCAGTTTATTAATATGCTCAATTACTGTTTATGCCAAAGCAACCTGTCATCTGATAGAAATCTGCTTGTACTAGACAGCAAACAAAACCCGGCAAATGGCTGTTGTTTTCAGAAGCAGAGTTTGCTCAGTGTAGGCATTTTCCAACAACAAGATGTAATCATTGCAGTATTACACCACCTCCATCATGACACTGTCTATTATGACCTCTAGCTCAGCCCCAACTTCTGAAAACTAAAAATAAAATGGAAAATGAAACCAGAAAACAAACAACGCAAGCTAGAACCTACAGCTTTTCTACTTCAGTGGACATTTATTACAATTTGAGTTGCGAACAATGCAGCTACCAAGACCCAGCTACCTTATGCTCCAGGCTGGAGTCTTTAAACATCAGTGAAAAAGGCTTGATATGCTCTCTTCTCAATTTATCGCCACTCCGTAAGTCGATGGTGTGCTCTATTCGCTTGTTAATTTCCTCAGGCCCAGACTGGACATGCAAAGCTTGTGCAAGATGGTTTGGAAGCAGATTTATTGAATTTCTTGTTAGGGCAGCCAGAGTCTAGGGGAAAGCACATGCAAACAGAATAAACCTGCTGGTCCCCTTGGGTTAAAAATGCAATGTTTTAAATCATGTTGCATTGCAAACCATTACAGCATTCCATGCAATTCGTTCAATGAAATCTATAGAAGTGTAAAATAATAAGTCTGTTCCACTAAACACATACAGCACATTAAGGAGAGTAATTTAACACCCTCTTTTATGCAGATTAGGAGGTTTGTTCCTGCACTGAACACTAGGAATATATTCCCCTGTCCAGATTCTGCCAATTAATTATTAGAGCATGCATAAGGGGAGCACACACCAAGATGACAGCTGGGTATCTAACTCATTGGTGTGTTTTAACGACTAAGAATGGAAGATACAGAAAACAGAATTCACAAAACAGGAGTAATGAGGTTTTTCTTGGTCTTAAAGTTACTGGATGTGTGTAGCTAAGGAACAGATCAGTTAGGCAGAAGTGAAGAAGGTGACATTTCTGATTTCTTCAGCATGGGTTCTCAAATAATGTGTTCTTCTTCACTACTGGTATATTTCAGCCAGTCTAGATTACAGTTAGGCTATATAATTTAATTTAACTGTAATTCATATTATTGTTTTAAATATTAACTCAAATGTATTGTTCCTTCAGTATTTCATTAACTAACCAAAAGAAAAAAAAAAAGGGAAATATTTTTGCACAGCTTTGCACAGGAAAGCTAGCAGAGATAGTATGAAAGGTGCTTCACCTTCAGGAACGAAGTAGAGTTTGCTTTCATAAAGAGAATAACTCAATGCATTTTCATGGTATCATTTCATGATATAAACCACAGTGAAGCAGCACTTTCCCACTTGAATGGGTAAATAAACTCTACTACCTGTGACATTCTCAAGGGTTAAGAAATGTTAATGAATGGAAAAGATATAAACCTTCATACATCACAGCAAAAGACATTTCAGAATTATTACAGACTAGAAATACACTTCTGCTTGAGAAAAGTTATCCCATAGGTCCTTGCTGGAAAGATCTTGTGCCACATGTCTTACTGGGCATTGTTGGGAACAAGAGTTTGGAATGGATTTATCACTACATTTCTCCAGAAAGCCAATTCTTTCGGATCATGGGACTGCAAATGATATAGGGAGATTTCCTCTGTTCATATTCAAAGTATAGTCAGCAATTACATGCTAATGAATCTTGAAGAGTACATAAAAGCAAAGGAAGGGTCTCAGGTACCCACTGTCAAACCAAAGTGACAACTTTCTTTACAATCCTAAAATAAAGTCCAAGGACTCTGTAGCCACAGATAGTATCTTATTTTCTCACATTCCATCTTTTGATGAGTGACTTAAGCGCCGCAATATATAGGCAGAAAAGGATATCAGGACTGAAATCTTCTGTCTATTGAAGTGAAAAGCAATCTTCCTGTTTGCCTTAGTAGAAAAAGGACTTCAGTAGAGAAGGTTTGACAAACCACTCTACTCAAATCTCCCCATCTTCCCTCCAGAAAATCAATATCATCAACATTCGGAGAAAAAACAGTATCAAGGAAACTTTTCTCATACTATTGTTTCAGATATGCCTGAATCCATATGCCTTGGAGTTAAAGCGGTAACTCTAAGGTTAGAGCCAAATCCCCAGAAAACAATCCATTGAGACCACTGGATAAATACTGTATTGCTACAAACTAAGGCACTGCTGTAGTTCAGGGAACCTTGTCTCTTTTAAACTGAGCTATGCAGAAAAGTTACGATCGGTTTGTGGTGGCCAAAATGGCACAAGAAGGTCTGAAGTCACTGTTAAAGGACAAGATCACATCAGATGCTATTGGGTGCATTACTTCCTCAGAGTTAGTTCATATTGCTGTATCTCCACTGGAAGTGAGGGTGGAAAAGGTCTCTAACATTTTAAATGAGTATTTTGTTTTATTTACATGAGGAGAATGATCTCAATTCATCCTAGTAAGTGACTATATATTACTTCAAATTATATTTTAAAATTTGATTAATATGAAGAACTGCCTTCTTACTGAATGTATGAAGTGGTTTACAATTCATGGTAGACAACATAATATCACCACTATGTCAATAGTGCCAGTAGTATTGGTGCAAAAATGAACTCTGAAGTTGCATTTATTTTCAGAGGATAACAAGAAAATTAATATTTGAGTTTAGGGGAGTCTTCTCTCCCTCACAGCCATACATGTACTCAAGAAAACCGCTTCCCTGTAATTAGTAATAACAATAATGAAAAATATCATGCAAATTATTGTCCCAAGAATATGTTCAAACCGCATTCTGTCTCTGTATCACCCTCTTTGTTCTGCATCTTTTCAGAGTGTGTTATGCCAGCATAAAGAAATACTGGTTCTCCCTATTATCTCACCTGCACTTTTGTGAACAGCTGTATGGAAGATACATTTGTGAATCCTACATGGGCTTTTGAACTTTTCTGATGCTGACAATAACCGTTCATTATTCAGGAACAAACATTTTTTTAGAAAAAAGCCCAGCCAAACTTGCATCTGAGACTAAAAAATAGGATGAATTAAAACAAACAAATAATAAAACTCCAACTTTAGAGATATTTCACAGAGATTTAAAAAAGGTAGCTGAAATTAGTTTTTACTTCCTTCCCACAAAGTTTTTCATGCAACAAGTCCAAGCATCCTGACCTCAATAAGAATGGAAATTTTTAATCAGTGCCATTTAGAAAATTCTTGGAAAGCTTCAAATTATCATTGTTTCTTTATACTGCAAATATCAGGTCTTAAAGAGGAAAATGCAAAGTAATTTGTTCAAAGAGACAGGATACAGATAGGATTTGTTTCAAGAGGAAGACATCTAAATGAAGGTGCCCAAGTACTTAGTGTCTAAGTTTCTATTACTGGCAATATACATCCTGGATACTTTCTGTTGCACAATCATATGCAGCTATGGTTTGCTGAGATGTCCTAGGGTATGCTGGACAACAGTCTGGAGCTAGGAGATATGGCACAAGACCTACAAGAACCACATGCACTTCTGGTCAGTGGTGGAGACCAACATGGCTACAGTATCTCAAACTGCAATAGACAGCCTCAGTCAAGAAGCTAAATCAAGCTCTTACTCGGCGTGTTTCAACATAGGTGTTTTGCACTATTTGAGACATCAAAGTCTCTTACCTGGCTTCTAACTGATAGTCCAGATGATCACAGGTCTTTCATAGGCCCCTTGCCATACCAATGTCTCAGGCACTCTATAGCATCACAAGTAGCACTAGACCCTTATGTTTATGAGCTGAGCTGTGTGGGAGATCGACAGCTGGGACAGTCAGTAGATTCACAAATGCAAGTGCCTTGTTTTTGAACTGAATTCCATCCTGTTGTTTATATTTGTCTATCATCTTGGCAGTCTTTAAGTATACTTTTTTTGATAACTGTTAAGAGTTATTTCAGTCATCACTAAAATACCCTTATACAAGACATGGACATTTTAATATGCTTTTTTGTCTTATTCACGTCATTACAGGCCCATCAAGTGCCTCCAGCACCACACACAGTGATCATATAATGCTTTCAGCTACTTCTGTTGTAAGATCCAGCAAAGAAATCCAACTTCATCAACTATTAATTTATTTTAGAGGAGGAGGCCTTCACTCCTTTAGCATACAATAGCTTCCATCCAACTTTCTTTGCTTTAGGAAAGAAACCCACACACTGGTTTCAATAACAGAAAACTCCATCCATATGGGGCATGATCTGAATTTCAGAGCAGGCACTTGTGTCCTGGGCTTACCTCACCATCAGAGCTAAGACACATGGTGCTAACTGTGCGGTAGACACATATAGCTTTTGTTAATGTCTGTGACTGCATACATAAAGAGTGGTTATCCTGTTCCTTACTCATATCAACATATCTTCAATTCACTGATTGAGGCTGCCCATAGAAAATGACTTTGAGCTAAAGAATATGGATTGTGATGAATTTGAGTTTGGCAAGAGAACTCACCAGAGACTGCCATTTCATAGTCTTCCTAACATGACTGCAGCTAAAAGTAAGACGCATGTGATCAGAGTTGCTCAAATTTTGTTATATTGAGTAAAGAAATCATTTAAACGTTATTGGCAAATATTCAGATATACAGAGTGATTCATGGTTGGGTTGCTGCTGCTTGGATTCTCAATGTCTGCTGCTGCCAGTGACCTTTAGGTTGCATAATTAATGTTATTAAATATTTATTCTGTCCAATAATGACATACCTCTGGAAAAAGCTACTATATCCTAGTATAATTTAAATCTATCATCTGAACTTTGAGCTGAGAAACGTTATTTATGAGCAGTAATGCCCATTGTGTCAAATTTAAAATTGAAAAATACATAATAATTGAGTCACACATGGAATGGCAGATTTTTAAAATCTTGTCTCCACGAAAAAGCTTATTGTAAAGCTGTGTAATATAAAATCAGAGTTATTTCCAGCATAAAAAAACAAGTTCTTAAAAAACAGTGAGAAATTATTCAAAAAATTGATTGTTTATTGCCATAAGACAAAAATCTGCTTTAAAACAACTGTTTAGTTATGCCTATTTCAATTATTTTCATCATTTTACTATTTTTTTGGGTGGGAGTTCAATAATTGAATAAAAACACTAGTCCTTTATTTCATTCCTCAATCTTTCTTAGTATAAAGAACAGGTTTAGCTGAGAAAATGATCAACGAAATGATAGCCTACTCCACATAGACTTTTTGAACAATGGAAATTGGAATGTCTTAAAGGGAAAGAAGAAGAAGAAACAGAGAGATCAGAAGATATTCACAACAGCATGCACCCATACTTCTATTCCTAATGAAATAAGAATATAGAGACAGGTCAATAAAATACAGGGAATACAAAAAGGCAGTGTACATGCAGATACACAGATGTACAGAACATATATAAAACAAGTGTTTTATATAACAGCAAACTATGCCATGCTCCAGTTCAGTTGGAAGAAATGAAGACACTGCCATGGGCTGATTGATTGTGAAGGCTTATCACTTCCGAGAAGATTTGTAAGAAGCAGAAGACGATTGACAAAGCAAGACCTCCACACAACATCAGTTGAAGTTCAACAGACAGTGCAGACAAGTAGGACTAAGGATGTGCAGCAGAAGAACAGATATATCATGTCATTACAGATCCCTCAGAAAAATGGAAAACTCCAGCTGGCCTTGTTTCATAAAGA